CAGAGATGGGTGTGTGTGTGTGTGGGGTGTGTGTGTGGGGGGGGGGGTGGGTGTGTGTACTTTCTGGGAGGGTTTTCTCAATTTCATGCTCACAGTTGATCTCCCTAGTTTTAATAATCAAGCACTCTGTTTTGTTCTAGAACCCCGTGTTTACAGCGTGCTCTTCTTACCTTGTGAATGAGCTACCTCCTCTCATCAGAGGACAGTGCTCTGTTTTTGTGCAAGTTTTTTGTGCAGCCTCTGACTCCTGCTTGCTTTCCACATTAGTGTCTGTCCACAAACGGCTGGAGGTCCTTGTCCTCGCTGGTGGCCCTTGTCCTCAGAGTCCATTTTAAACAGGGAACTAAACAACTGATGCTCCTGGGGTGGGGGGAGTTTCTTCTGGGGTGTTTCCTGTGGTCCAGTCTGGCTGAGTCCTTCCACTCAGAGCTCTTGCACTGGTCAGCTACAGCTGCTGAGCCAACAGTCCTGAAGTCTGTGGCCGTATCATCTGCCCTCTCTCTACCCCAGGACACCCAGACTTCTCCAGGTGCAGGGACCTCCCCAGACAAGCTGCACCTGTGCCTGGCACAGGGCCTTTGCACGGGCTCTTCCTCTCCCTAGAAGCCCTTCTCTGAGGTATCTCAGAGCCTCACTTTCAAGTTTCTTCTCAAAGCCACCTTGTCTCTCCCCATCCGCCCAGGCTCCACCGCTTTCTCTGTAGCCCTCGTCTCCCCACCACGCTCCATATTTATTTGTGGATCTGTTTAGCTCTTTCTCCTTTCTGGAAAGGCAGCTCTGTGGAGGCTTTGCATTTGTTGTTCGTGACTCTGTTCCCAGGACCTAGAATAAATCTCAGACTAACACAACGCAGTGCAAAGCGTGAGGTTTCTGCAGTGGAGAGATGGCGTCCACACGGAGCTAGTGGTCACGGGGGTTGGGAAGTGTCTCTGCTGTGTCCAAATTTAAATGCAGTCTGTTCCCCTTGCTCGCGGCGGTTAGGCTAAGTTCACGGAGATCGTGAATTGGTGCCTACTGAGCTTTGGTCCCCAGGGGAGGTGCCGGTGAGGACCTGGGAGCCTCTGCTCGCGTTTCCAGTGGCCAGTCATCGGGGTGCTGTTCTGCGTGTTTCTGATTAGAGATCCCTCACCTAATACGTACCGTCGATGCCACCCTGGACCTCAGCCAGTGGCCCTTGTTTTCCTTCTGCCTGCGCTGGGCACATCGCAGCCCCTGCCCGCCAGGGGGCACAAGAGGGTCCTTCAGCGCCACAGCTGGGGCCATTGCCAACAGCAAAAGTGACAATGAAACACAAAATTGGAATTTAGAAAATGCATTAAGAGGGCTGTGGAAAGGACACTTGTCTGCAGAGTGGGTGGGGAAGGGGGCCCTGCCTCCCTCACCTTGGGGCAGCCCCAAGGTGAGGTCCGTGGGGGCAGCCCCTTCCTTCCCACTGGCCTGTGGGGGCAGCCCCTTCCTTCCCACTGGCCTGGTGCACATGCAGCGGGGAACAGGGAACACCCACAGGCATGGCTTGACTTAGCGGCCAGGGAGTTTGCAGATACAGGATCGACAAGATCACAGTTCACAGCGGGAATCGCTCTGTAATCTAAGGTGGCCCAAGGACTTTTCTTTACCATCATCCAGTGGCATTAATGAAAAAGAAAAAAACAACCAGAGAGGTTAATATTGACGAGCATCTCCCCGCAGAGCCTCGTCCTCAAGGCTGTGGTCAGCAGGACCACCAAGCTACAAGAAGCAGGGATGAGCTTTGCCCCAGGCCTGTCCTTGGGGTCCTGAGGGGCACGGAGGTGGGACTGTCGGGTGGGAACCCCTGGGCTGAAGTCCAGGGGCATGAGCCTGACTGACTTTGACATCCTGTGTCCATCCACCCCTCGGGGTTTAGAAAGACGACACTCAGCATCTACTCAAGAACGTGGAGCCTGGTGCACAGAGCCCCTCAGAGACCGGCTCCCCATCCAGGAGGAGGAAGAGAGACGCGCAGCCGTCGAGGGACGCAGAGGCCCCAGATGTAAGTGCTGCCTGTGTGTCTGCCCGGGTGCCGAGGCGCTGCTGCCCACCCGGCAGTGATGGCGTGTTTCCCAACGGGCTTCTCCTTTGAGGGGTCACTTACCTATAAAATGCAGAGTTCAAGTTTAAAGTTTGACACTTTTTAACAAACGTCTCCACCTGGGAACCAGTGCCCACCGTGGAGGTGATTCTGTCACCCCGGAAGCCCCCAGTGCCCCTTCTGGGCCAGCCTCTCGCACACGTGCTCCCAGAGGGGATGCCAGTTGGCTGTCCATCACCAGGCTGCCCCTGCGTTCGGGGACTTTGTGTGGGGGGGCGTCCTGTGCTCTCTGTGCTGCGTTCCCAGCAGAGCACTCTCGAGACTTCCCTGTCCCATCGTCACCGCTCAGGAGTCCTGGGCCCAGAAGTGCCCTGGTCACCGTCCACCGGCTGCTGGGTGTCTGGTTGGCGGCCTGGCTTGCTCCTGTGTGGCGGGCACTAGGCTCCACCCTGTCTGTGTGGCTGGTTTATTTTCCTTTCTCCTGGTTCCTTCCAAGTGCACGTCCAGCGTAGGGAGCGCGGGCCGCGGCAGAGGGGTCAAAGGGGATTCTCCTGCTCCTTCCTGTCACCCTCTCTGAGCCTGCCCCAACCAAGAGCATCGCTGGTGAGCCAGGGGACAGGCTGTGACATTTCCAGTCTGTTCCTGTGCCCAGGGAAGGACGGCGGGCTTCATCTCCTGGGGGAGGGGAAGACTGAACTGACATTGGTCAGCGCCTGTGGGCACCAGCAGTTGTCCGTGTGTCCTCTCTGGGTGACGTACGTGCTCCTGTGAATGACCCAATTCCTATTTGCACCCCCATTTTCCAAATGAGGGATCTGAGTCCTGCAGCTGGGGAGTGGCCCGGCTTGGATTTGCGCCTGGGTCTCTCTGGCCCCTGCCCGGCAAGTGCTGCCATCACCACATCCCTCTGTCAGCTCAGTGGCCCGGTGACCACAGGAGAGTGGCCGGGTGTTTTCAAACAAACCCACCAAAGCCTTGAAACCAACAGGGGCAGCTTCTGGTTACACTGAAGAATCGGTTTCTGGAAGGCGCCCAACCCCTGCACTTCCCAAGGGTTCCCGCAACCTGGCTCCTCTTGCCTGCTGGCAGGACCCTGAGGAAAGTGGGCTGCTGTCCCCAGGGCTGACCCAGGCAGGTGGAGGAGACGGAGACCGCCTCTGTGACTCCAGGGCAGAGCCTGCCCTACGGGCACACGCTGTGCGTCTCTGGTCCGTCTCCTGTCTCTGTGTCCGTGTGCTCCTCGCTGCCCCGCCCGAGTGTGTGTGTGCACCTGAATCTGCAGCCTCTCTCCACCTGCACCTCTGGGCTCTGTGTGCAGGGGTGTCCAGGTGACAGCTGAGTCTGGGGGCATGTGTGCCTCCCTATGTCTGCCTCCCTATGTCTGCCTCTCCCATCTCCTCTCCTCCCTCTCTCCACTGCCTGCTCACCCCCTCATACTATGAAGATGGTATCACCAAAAGGCAAGTCTGTGTGCACACAAAACTTGTACACAACCGTTCACACCAACATTATCCACGACAACTGAAATGTGAAACAACACAGAGGGCCACTGGCTGACAAATGGATACCTGAAATGCACTGTCCACGCAGTGGAATATTATTTGGCCATTGAAAAGGAACCAAGCCCTGATATGTGCTACAGTGTAAACAAACCTTGAAGCTGTCGTGCTAAGTGAAAGTCACAAAAGGCCACCTAGTACAGGACCGCATTGGTAGGAAGTAAACAGGACTGAGAAGGTTATAGAGACAGTGGATGGTGGCTGCCGGGGTCTGGGGAGGTGAAGGCAGGGTGGAGGCGATGGCCCACGGCCCTGGTTTCTCCCCCTTGTGATGAGGATTTCTGCGGCAGCTGTGGTGATGTTCTGTGTGTCTGTGCAGACACTGGAGCTATTATATCCTGCACCGGGGCAAGTTGTGGTGTGTGGACTACGCCAAAGCTGTTTACAGAAAACAGTCCTGCTCACACAGGGGCAGCTTTGGACATGGGGGGTGGCAGCAGCTTTGGGACCTAGATCCTGCCCAGTGCTGGCTCTGCCATGTATTTGCTGTGTGATGTCGGGCAAGAAACATAAGCCCTCGGAGCCTGGGGCAATCATGAAGGCTCCTCCCTGGGGAGGCTGAGGGTGCAGGTGGGGGCTCCGCCCGCCCCAGGATAGGTGTTCCCTGGGTGTTTGTAGGGCCCAGTTTCCTGCCCCTGGAGGGTCGGCTCATTTTCCTGCCTGGTGTGTTACTCGCTGACTACTGACCTAGTCCTGGCAGATGTCCGTGACCAAGCTAATAATTGCCCAGGGTTAAGTTAAAGATCTGCCTGTTCCAGTGACTGCTTGCTGGGCTCCCTGGCCTTCGGTGGACTCCACATGTGTGGACAGGGCTGTCTAGGGCACGACAAGCAGAGCCATGGCTGTTGTCCCCTACTGCACAGAGAAGGAGCTGTGCTGTGCCCCTCGGCAGGTGAACTCTGTTTAATGAGTAGCTCCTGTCAATCATCAAAGCCAGGCAAAATTCCAGAGAGCTCTGAGTCCGCCCTAGGTCTCCGTCCTGTCCCTTGGGACAGAGTCTTTGTGACGCGCTCATGAACTCGCTGGGAACACCTTTATGGTAGCGAAATGGCTTTTTCTACAATTATGCTTTAATTTTCTGAATAATTGCATTGACTCGGCTGGGCAGGTGGCCAGAATCCAGAGGACTCCCAGACTTAATAAGGAGAGCTTTAAAAGCTCAAGTTGGTGGGTCCCCTTTGGGTGGCTGGAGCCAGGCTGCCTCCTCCTTGGTCCCACACGCCAAGGGCTCCTGGGTCCTTCACTTCCTGGCCAAGGCTGTGACTGTCCCCCCGCCCTGTCCTCCAGGGCACTGCCTGCTGCGGGTTTCGGGATGGAAAAGACAGACAGCCACACCCGTGGAGCCTCACCTGCAGCCAGGACTGTGCTCGCCAGGCTCCCCGTCCCCGGGGCTCTTTCCACGGGTCCTGCCCCGGCACCCTGTTCTTGCCTTGTTTTGCACACTAAGTGCAGTTCCCTGTGTCTGTGCTCGCCCTCATTCTCCACGCGTTCTTCTCTTTCCTCCCACCTCTATTTGAGGGGAGGTCAGAAGGCCCAGGGCTTTTCTGCCTCTGCATCTTTCCCTTGAGCAAATGTGTCCCCCTGGAGAACCAGCCAGGGCCAGCGTCCTGAGCACGTGACCTGTGCAGTCACGCAGGCCCTGCTGGGAGGGGCCCTGGCCTTGGCTGCTGGGCTGTGCTGTCCCTACCTCTGACAGCTTTCACAAGAGCCCTCTGTCTGCTCTGCACTAGGCCCCACCGTGGTGGGAGCAGGCTGGGTTCTGTCTGTTAGTCTCACCACTGTTCTTGGCTTTTGCACCATTTCATCAAAAATGCTTCAGCAAGGAGTGGGTCAGGTGCTGGGGTGGACAGCAGCCCTGCTCTGGCCCTCAGGTCAGAGGGAGGCCAGGAAGGTTTTCAGATGAGCAGCAACAGGAAGTGCATGTTTAAAAATCACTCGATTCCCACGTGGCGACTGACCTGGAAGGTGATCACCCCTGAGCCTTAGTTTGCCCCTCTGTGAAGTGGGTGTGACCCTGGAGTCCCCGCCTCCCAAGCTGGCTGCTGTCTGGTGACTGCATGAGCAGATGGGCACACCGTGGCTGGCATGCAGTTGGCACGCATGGCGGGGAGCCAGGAGGGAAGCCGTTGCAGCCCTTCAGGGAAACGGTGGCTAAGGGTGGGTCTGGACTCCCGAGGGCTTGGAGAGGGAGATTAGTGGGACTGTGGCTGGTCAGACCTGGGGAGTTGGGGAGCAGGGAGATGGGGTGCCTCGTGTCTGGGCGTGGCAAGGCCACGCCTGGGGCCTTCTCTACTGAATTCCCACTTCCCTTTTGATTCCCTGTTCTTGCTCTTGTTCTTCCCTCTTGTTATGTTGAAGGAACTAGCATGGTGTCAACTAATCGCCCTTAGTGTGCAAAACAGTGCAAGGATGCCTGTCAACTCAAGAGGATGAACCTGGAGCGGGGAGATTCGCATTCCCATCCTGGCTCTGGAGTTCATGAGCTGTGTGGCCTTGACCTTGGGCACGTGGCCTAACCTTTCTACACCCCGTCCTCTCCATCTGGGAAGTGGAGACGGAGGCTCCTGTCGGGTCCCGGGAAGCTTCATGCACCACCCGGTTCTTGACCTCTGGGCCCGTTTGTGAGTTGTGAGGAGCAGACAGGAGGCCAGAATCAGGGCCTCCACACATGGCTGCTCCCGGTCAAACTGGAGACCATGGGCCACAGTGCAGCTCAGTCAGGAGCATCCCGGCCCCTCAATCATGAGCAGGTGGCCAGTCCCTCTGCAAGCCCCATGGCAGGCGTCCAGTTGGGTGAGTGGAGCAGTTGGAAGGAAGCTGATCGTCTGCTCTAGGTGCTTCCTCCAGGATGCAAAGCGGAGGAGGAGGGTCCCCCGCAGCACCTCGTTCTGGGGCAGGTCGCCCAGGGCCTATGAGCAGTCCCCTGCGCCTGCCTTCACTCACTCACCCGGTGTCCCCAGCACGTTTCCCAAGCCAGTCTTCACTGCCTGGGCCGCGCACAGGAGGGCACGCCTACTGGCAGACAGGAGCACAGGACGTCGGGATACTTCCCAGAGAAGTTCTTCCTGCCACAGGGGATGGCTTGTCACCACTGCACTGGGGGCCCAGGGCTGAGGTCCTCCCCTGGTCCAGAGACTCATCTGGGAGCTTGTTCATGTGGCCCTTGTGGGTGGGTCTCCTGGACCTGCTTACTGCCTGGGAGGACCGGGCTCAGACAGGTTGCTTAAGGGTCCAATCCAAGTCTTGTGTGAACATGTGTCATGGGTTTATACTACTAACAGTGCAAAAATCATTTTTTTAATTTTTAAAGAAGTTTAATTGGCTCATAATGATATACCGACTCATGGGGTACAATATAATTCAATATGTGTAAAGATGTAGGGTTCAAATCAAGGTCGTTAGCATTTCCATCTTCTCAGGCACGTATCATCCTATGTTAAGAAACTTCAGCTCTTCTCGCTGTGTTCAGATGGGTCACCAGTCATCGCAGGCTGTGCTCCTTCTCTGCTGTAGAACACGGGGCTGAGTCCTCCTGTGTAAAGTCATTCCTTGTTTTTGTTCTTTTCACTTATAGATTGTTCAAAATTATTTAGAAGACACTTTTAATTAGTCTCAGGTTATTCAAATCCTTACTGCTTTCTAAGCCAAAGAATCAGAATTAAGTGATCATATATTTCTGTCCATATACCCTTCCACCCATCCATCCACCTGCCCATCCGTCCACCCACCCTCCATTCATCTTTCTCTCTACTTATTCATGCACACACATATATCTGTGCCTCCACCACCCATCCACCATCTGTCTGTCTGTCCTTCTATCCATGCACCACCCACCCATCTATCCATCCATTCTACCAAGAGAGCACTTGCCAGGATCTGCAGGTGCCCATCACAGTCCCTCTGAGACCACTCCTTCACTTGGATCGTGACATTTTGGACTCGGGGTCTGTCTTGTTCTGCAGAAAGCCTCCCAGACCACTTGTATGAGCTTTTCTTTGCTGTGACCAAACTCCCTGACAAGAACACCTGAGAGAGGTTCATTTTGCCTCACAGTCCAGAGGTTCAGCCCATGGCCAGTGGCTCTGAGGCAGGAACGTCCTGCCAGAAGGGCATGCCTGGGGAGAGCTGCTCGCTCACGGCAGCAGGACGCAGAGAGAGGCAGGAAGGCGCCAGGGACCAATATGGTCCAGGGACCTGCTTTCTCCAGCCACAGCCACCTGCCAACGGTCCTCACCACCTCCCAGTGGGCCTGGTCAGATTATTAATCCACCGATGGGCTAGTCCACTGATGGTCCAATCACTCTCCTCTGAAGGTAACTACACTGCCTCACCCGTGAGCGCTGGGGCTCGTGCCAGGTCTGAACCATGACATTGTCCGTTCTCTTTCCCAGGAGTATGAGCCGTCCTTCAACAGCAACATCACAGCATTCGCCCTGAAGGCCAAAGTCATCTATCCCATCAATCAGAAGTTCCGGGTGAGAGCTCTGAGCCCCGTGATCTTGGTGACAACTAGGGCTTGGCGTGGGGTGGGGATCCGACGTGCAGCTGAGTCCCAGTCAGGGTGTTACGCCAGCTCTTCCCCACACAGACCTTGAGGTTGAAAGCAAAACTTGACGGTGACTCCATTTATGACAGGATTGTCAGGGCTGGGGCAGGCTGTGTGTCAAGGAGGGAATGACCACAGCGCCTGTGTCCCCAGGGACACCAAGTGGCAGCACAGTGGGGCAGCATCCCCCCGCCTTCCCACACTGACACAGCCTGACGTCGACGTGGTCACCCCTCTCCTCCTCCCTCACAGAGCCTGGACTCAGGCCAGCGTGCCCTTCCCGTGTGCGTCTGAGGGGCTGGCATGGGCTGTTTGTCACAAGCTGGGCATCTCAGCTTTGCAGTGTTGTCTCAATTCACCCATAAAGGGACTAAGGCCCAGGGAGGCTGCTGCCCTGTCCTTGGCCCCCGGCAAGGCCAGAGTCCGCCACACCTGCAGACCTCGCGCCTGTGACTGGCGCTCCCTGCCGGGGGTGGGGGTGGGGCTGTTTGCAGCGAGTGCCTCTGCCACGCTCCAGGAGCCTGCGCCCCCGGGGGGCTCTGGAAGAGTTTCCTGGTCAAGTGTGTGTGGGTGTTAGGGGGACACGCTCCAGGGCACATTCCCACTCCCGTCTCGGCCGTTTACTACTGTTGGCTGTTCCCGTGCCTCGGTTTCCTCATCTGTGACGTGGGGATGATGGGTTCTAATGCCTCACCGGGTTGTTTTCAGGACTGTGGCATCAGCCACTCGGCACACGGCAGGATTTTAGATTATTACGTGCTTTTTTATTCCTGGTGCTGGGGATTGAACCCCGGGCCTTGTGCACACTGGGCAAGTGCTCTGCCCCTGAGCCACATCCCCAGCCCACTAAATGATGTGCTTTTGAAGAGAGCCAGAGTGCCCTGGAGGCTCTGAGACTTCCCACACCACGGAAGTGACTCCGTGTGCAGTGCAGCATTTCCCAAACTGATTCTCCACAGAACTCTTGGGATGAACAGTAACAGGACAGAGTTCGTGAAGTGTTCCCCGGAACACATTTTGAGAACCACATCTTTCTTGCACTCTCTGGTGGGTGGACGAAGGGCATTTATACAACAGCAGCACCCACTGCTGAGTCTGTGCAGGCGGAATGACCTGTGGTAAAACAGGCTGTGAAGGCATGGCCAGGGAGCTTTGGAACCCAGCACAGGACCCGGGGTCAGTTCATTCCAGCAAACAATGAGCGAGGGTGCTCAGGATGGGTGCAGAGCCTGGGGTGGCCCAGAAGCAGGAAACAAGGAGAGGTTGACCGCCAGAGCCAGCTGGCCTTACAGCTTGGGCAGTACAGTAGGGGACAGGGCTGCGCAGAGGTGTGGACATTCGCTGAACTCTGCAGCTGCGCTGGGCACCAGGCTGTGGCCTGGGCAGTACTGGCCATGGGTGGAGTGGGCCTGTCGGAGGGCAGTGAGAGCCACCTCGAGGGCCTGGGGCTGGGACGGCTCCTGCCTCAGTGGGCTTCGTGGCCAGTACAGGTAGGGATCGGAGGCAGCGGAGGAGGGGAGGAGGGCAGGGAGGCCAAGTTGGCTGTTGGGTGCAAGTGGTATTTAAGGACAGAATCAGGTTACAGCTGAGATGGGCCTCAGCACAGAGGGGACAAGTCCAGGGACAGAGAATGTGAGTGTGAGCCAGGTCCCAGGGCAGACGCTCTGTCGGGTCACCAGCACCCTGCAGCCTGCCCAGCCAGGCCTTCTGGTGAGGTGCCCTGGTCCATCAGGGAGAAGTTGCTAGAAACACGGGGGATGCACCGCGGATGCTGACAGTGTCCCTGCCCTTCTGCCACCCAGCCCCTGGCTGATGGCTCCTCCAACCCGTCCCTGCACGAACACCTGAAGCAGGCAGTCCTGCCGCACCAGCCCACCGAGGCCTCCCCGGCCAGCAGCCTGGGCAGCCTGAGCCAGGCCGAGAAGGACGGCGGCAGCTCCTCATCCAGCCTCCACTCGGCCAGCGACGACGGGTTCCTCGGCCGCAGCTTCCTGCGGGTGAGCAGCTTCCTGGAGGTGCTGGCCTGCGAGAGGTGAGGACAGGGAACGAGGCAGGGGACTCCAATCCCAGGTCACCAGTGGTCACACCATTGTCAGAAGAGGAGGGAGGGCCCAGAGAGGTTAAGGGACTCGGCCGCAGATGCACAGAGCCCCAGCAGGAGAGCTGAGACCCCAGATGGTCTGTCACCTCGTGATGTTGGCCAGCAGAAGGGTTGGAGTCAGGCCTGAGCCCTGGGGACAGATGACGGGGGGCCTCACTCAGTCACTGTTGTGCTCCGTGCATTGCACGGTGGCAGCTGGCACTGATCAAGTGCCCCCGAGTACTGGGCAGAGAGTGGTCAGCAACCGGGTCCCTGCTGTTCCCGTCGGCCATGAGCAGCATCCAGCAGCTATCGAGCGCCTCCTCATGAGCCCGGAGTGTTGGGACCTCAGCCCAGGAGTGAGTGCAGGAGGCAGGTGCACGCGGCCCACTCGGAGCAGCAGGGCCGTGTTCTGGTCCTCACCGCTCTGGTCAGATGTGCTGACGTCTGTCCACCTTCTCTTCTGACTTCTCAGTGTGGACATCGACCTGTGTGTCTACAGCCTTCACCTAAAAGACCTGTGGAGCCTGGACACGGCGCTGAGGCAGGAGAAGCACATGGTATGTGGAGTTGTCCATTTTCCTCCCCTTCTCTGTCTAGGGAGCGTGGACACCTTGGGGGACAGACTCAGGACAAGCGGAGCTGCCCTGGGGAGGGGGCCGGGGGTCAGCCTCCGAGCACAGCCTGGAAAGCAGCCGTGCCTGGCGGTGGCTGGGCCTCCCTTAACCAGAGCGCGTCTCCTGGTAGAGGCAGAGAAGGGGTGTTCCAAGTGTCTGTGGGGTGACAGTAGTGCTGAGAGTAACCATGAACACTAGTTTCACTGAACACCTACTGTGCGCTAGGCCCAGGGTGTATTAAACAGGTGATTACACTTGAGCATCACTGCAAACCAGAGAGGTGGGGCCATTAGCTTCCCCATTTCACAGGAAACTGAGGCACAGGAAGATGGACTCACTCAGTCATAAAGCTTCAGATGTGGAGCAGAGACAGGAAGTTCAGTGTCTCACAGGTGGTGCCATCTGGGCCATGAGTGAGACAGTGCAGGGGGCCGACTGGGACAGCAGGACTAGCTCTGCAGAGGCGCCAGGCTCTGGCTGAATCCCGCCTGGGGTTGGGCTACTGGGAGCCAGAGACGAGTCCCCTCAGCCCGGCACTGAGACCACAGGGGACAGAAGGAGCAGTGGTTCTTCCCTGAGGCATATTCTCTGGGCTGTTGAATAAGGAGTGAGACCTCCATAGAGAGGCAGGGGGAGAAAGCGTCTGGGAAAGAGAGAGTGCAAGAGCAACAGAGCAGTGGACTCAGACACGCAGATGCACCCACAGGCCGCTTGTCTGTATGCTGGAGACGGCGAGGGTGCCCACCCAGAGTGCACCTGGAGGAAGTCTGGCTCTGTGCGAGCAGGCCTGGCCTCATAAGCAATGCCAGTGTCTGAAGCCTTAAATGACTCCAGAAATCGGGACATAGAGGTGTCCCTGCACCCTGCTGCCCTGCTCCACATAGGTCCCTGGGTGCAGAGGCACCTGTGGCTACAGCCTGCTTTCCCTGGGCCTCACCCGCCCGCCTTGGGGGCTCTGTGCTCCTGGGGTGAGGGGGGGGCTCCTATTCTCAGAGCGCCTCCAGCCAGCCAGCCAAGTGGTCCTGGCCAGCCCCGCCCCCCAGGGCAGCCTACTGTCATGTGGGGCAGTTACTCACCACCAGGGAGGTGTGGCCTCTGCCCCCTGCAGGATGCAGTGGCAGACACCAGCAGCAGCCCCTGCTTTTGTGGAGCCCACTTTCTGGTGCAGTGGGGACAGCAGGAAACACATCCCACAAAGCACAGTGGCAGTCAGCACAGCACGGAGATGACAGGGTGCTGCCCAGGTGTGCAAGGGCCACCTGAGCAAGTGAGGGGTCAGGGAACGGGCAGGTGTCCCCGGGGAAGACACAAACAGGGCCTCCAGGGAGTTCCTGGAGATGTGCCCTGCACCTAGTGGGTGCTGCATAGAGGAGCCTCTGACGTATGATTGACAGGCACACGGCCTCACTCAGTGGGACTCGCCCTCCTCCAGGGCAGTCTCTAGGGGCTCTGCAAGTGCGGGAAGCCATGCCACATCCTTTCTCCAGCAGAGATGGGCGGGGCTCAGGGTGATTCAGGCCAAGGGCAACCGATGCTGGGAGGTCCCTGCTGGCCCTCGCTAGGTGAGAACGGGCCTGGACACGGACAGGGAGGACATGGGGACACACTGCAGCTGTGACCTCTGAAAGCAGAATGGCAGAGATGAGGGCAGATTCTGGGAGGCGGGGTACTAGAATAAGGGGTGCACCAGGACCAGGGGGTTTTCTTCTGGTGCTGGGACCGTCTGTGTCTCGACTGTGGCAGTGCTGCCTGGGCCTTTACCTGTGGTAACGCTGCATAGAACCACCCCCAAACACACACACGCATGCACACACACATGCACACTCTCACACACACACACATATGGATGTACATGGCTGGGGTGAAAACGGCTCTAGTTTGGTGTTGACATATTGAGCCCAGGGCAATCTCCTCTTGACAGTGTGCCCCAGTGATCTGCGATGCCGTCCTGGGTATGAGCTCCTAGGCCTGTTTGTTTTTTGCACCTTCTCTTGAGTCTATCATTATTTCAAAATGGGAAGTTTTAAAATGGCCATCTTAAAAACGACAGGAACAGGGTACGTGTTACTGATTACACTTGGGGTCAAAAAGATGCATTTGAGGCTAACATCTTGGGGAGAGAAGGTCACCTTGCACACCGTGGCTTTCAGTGTGTGAAAGCCAGGACACGTGTCTTGGTGCTTGTTACACGGGGAAATGGAATGAAGGGTGTGGGAGGAGATCCGGGCTCGACCCTCAGCAGGAGGATCCCTGTGGCCATGCAACAGGGGGCACCTTGTCCCGCTTCCCAGCCCTAGGATCCTGTGTGTGACATGTCAAGACATGCCCACCTGCCTGTTGCCCTGGCAACCAGGTGGTGACGTGTACTATGTGAGCCTGTCAGCTGAGAGTGTCTGGAACCGAACCCACTCAGAGACTGGCCCAGAGCTGCCTACTCCTCTAGCGACCTCACACTGAGGCTGCAGCTGGAATAGGGTGCTTTCTTCTTCCAGGGGCTCAACATCCACAATTCAACCAGCCACCAATGGAGATTAATCAGAGAAAAAGGAACTGTGTCTATACCAGACATGTTGGTATTGCTCAACACCACAGTACAACTGTTGGCACAGCATTTGTGCTGTACTGGGTACTGCAAGTAATCTAGAGAGATCTAAAGTCTGTGGTAAGCTATGCATTTGTTAGTTGCAAATACAACTTACCAAGGGTTGGCTAGTTGCAAAAGAGATGATATAATCATACAATTATGCCCAGCAAAACCAAAAGATATTTGCTGTTGGGCTTTTATAGAAAAAAAGTTGCTAACCCTGCATCAAAAAATGCTTTATAATATGAACATATCCATGTGACCTTTGACAAAGATGCAAAAATAGTTCAATGAAGGAATGAGAAACTTTGGGATACAGGGTGCTGGAACAATTGGATAACAACTTCAACCTCACATTTTATACACACACAAACTCAAGTGGATCCTGCATTTAAAGGTAAATGTATAAGGCTTTCAGACAAAAACAAAAGAGAAAATCTCCAGAGTCTCCAACACCACAAAGAGTTCTTACACCAGACACTAAAAGCTTGATATCATTAAGACTAAAGACTGTGGCTCTGCAAGAGACCTTAAGATGAAAACCCGAACTACAGAGCGAGGGGAAAGCTTCCAAGCCACGATCCCACTCCTGGACCAGGGCCTGGAACATGAGGAACCCCGGGGGCCTCCTGGGAAATGAGCATCTAATCAGGACTTCACCAAGAAGGAGCTGGAGATGGCAAGGACACAGAAAAAGACGCTCAGCACGATGAAGCCATCAGGGAAAAGAAAGTAAAACCACAGTGAATGTCGCTCCACACCTGTCAGAATGACTGGACACAACACAGCCACAACCCAAATGCTGCAAGGCCGTGCGGGGACTGGGCTGCTGGGTGGTGCTGACGGCCACTCTGGAGGGCCCTGTGGTGGGCTCCAGTCACTGCCTCCTGAGCATTCGTCCCAGATGAGCTCACGTTTACCCCCAAACCTGTACATGCGTTCAAAACCCCAACTGGAAACCACCCCGAGGTTCACAAGGGGCGGATGGCCAAGCGTGGGGTGGATGGAGCAGCTCTGGGCTGTGGTGGGGGTCCCTGCTCCGAGGAGGGCTCTTTGGGGTTTAAGGGACATCTCTCCTTTGAGCAGGAGGCTGGAGGGATACTTTGTCCACCCTGGTTCTGGGAGACTGTGTTCTAATCCTCCCCGTGAGGAAGCGGCCTCCCTTTGCCATTTCTATTTCCCTGACACCTGTGAAGTGGGGGCGGTGCAGAAAGTGGACACCTAATAAACACTCGATGAATAAATGAAGGGGGACATCATTCAGAAAGAAGAAGGCCATCGTCATGAGGTGTCACCTGAGGTCTTTTCCTGCAGCCAAAAGCACATGGAGGAGGGGGAGGGAGGGAGGAGAGCGGAAGAAGAGACAGACGGGAGGGAGGCCTGTGTTTAACCCTGTCTCCTGTTGTCCTTCCTTTTTGCCAATAGATGTTTATTCAGATTTTTAAAATGTGCCTCCTGGACCTTCTTCCTAAGAAAAAGTCTGATGACGAATTATATCAGAAGATTCTGTCAAAACAAGAACAGGTATGTCTTGAACCTGTATTTCAGATAGCTTAAAAAATAGTTGATTACTATATAAAAATATAATATTACAATAAATTATTTTTTGCTTTCATGTATAAAAATGATCTATTAAAATATACATGTCTCCACGTCTTCATAATAATATCTAAAAGTACGTGTACAAGCTCAAAAAGAACAATGCATATTATTAAAATTCAGGAGAACATTCAGAGCAGACAGAAGAAGAATGTTGGTCATATTAACTACTCAGGCACAATCACTGTTAATGTTGTTTTCTTGCATGAGTTTCAATATAAAGAAGTAATTTTTGAATTTATATTGTTTCATCCCACGTACAAAACTGTCTTTTCCTGCAAAAAAAAAGAAGTCATGTGTTTATTGGTTATAGCTGTTTATTCTGCTTTGTATTCTGCTCTTCTTGGTCTTTTTTCCATCTGAGAAAACTTACATTTATTTCATGTGCAGCAAAAAGAGTCAGGGCTTGGAGTCAGGCTGGGTGAAGTCGGAACCCTGGCTCCACCTTTTACCGGTTTTCAAAATCCTAGTAATAGTGATGTGTGAGCGCTGCCATCACCTGTCATTACCACCCCGATGTCACCGCCATCTTCATCACCATGGTCATCACCGCCAGCGTTTGCTTTTTATCACCACCACCAACACCATCACTCCACCGTCATGACGTCATTGCTGTCACCACCGCCACCATCATGTGCATCAACAGCAGCATCACCATCCTCCTCCTCACTACCTCATGGCCACTCTTCACCATCATCACTGGGTGGTCATCAGCACTGTCATGTACTGTCACCACCACCATCTCTTCATCAACGTCACCAAGATCACCCTGCTACCTCCACTACTGTCCTCTCTGTCCCAGTGACCAGATGTTACATCATCTTCATCGCCATCCCCACCCCCCACGGCCACTCCACTACCACCCTCTCCATTACTACCACTGCCACTGCCACTGTACTCTGTGTCATTGTCACAGTCGGCCTGGCTACCCCACCACCATCTTCCTCATCCTCATCACTGCTCCCTGTATCTTCATCGTCATATCGTTGTTGTCATTGTCACCATCATCATCATCCCTGGTCCCACCATGATATTGGGGGCTTGGAGAGACTGTCTCCTCATCACTCTTCGGATTCTACAGGAAGACTTCCTCCCTTGGTCCTGGGGAGAGGAGTGGCTCATCTTCCTCACTGTCTGCACCTTCACCGCCATCCTCACTCTCAGTACCACCCCGAGCACCGTCAGCAGGCAGTGCTAGACCTACATTATGCACCTTTCGTGACAGTCCCACGAGTGACTATTATTATCTTTGTTTTATAGCTGAGGAAACTGAGGCTCGGTGTGCTTAAGTGGCTTTCCAGTGGTAAAAATAATGATAATGGCAATATTTGTAATCATGTACGTAGGAATAAAGTAAGACACGCTATCATGGAAAGAATGAGAGGTTTGGAGTCGCAGATCTCAGCTCAGATCACCCTCTCCTGCTCACTCAGCCGTAACCCTGGGAAGCATCTTAGTTATCGCAGTGGCTACTGTTTACTGAGACAGTCTGGCCAGGTGCCTGAAGGTGTAATTCAATTTAATGCTCACAGCAGAGTTGAAACCTCTCGAGGAGGACAAGAAGTACTTAGAAATGTCAGTCGCCCTTTGGAGAGAAGCAGCATGACATATGAAGGTGGAAGGGGGGACGAGCCTAGCACTGCCACTTCCTGCCCAGGAATCTTAGGACAGAATGTCTGACTTCCATTTATCATGGTCCTCATCAGGAGGAAAGCTGTCATTTCCCTCTGTGGAGACGCTGTGAGGATTAGAAGTCACATGTGGCCTCAGCGGGCCCAACCATAGCGTTCTGGCTCAGTGAGTTTTCCTGGTGAAGCTGCCCCCACCCCCAGTGTTGGTCACATGGCAGTTAACACAGCTCTGCAGAAAAGAGACCCCTCCCTCGCTCCACGGTGGGGTTTGAAGGAACCATGATACAGGGGACTCCCGCGTTTCTTCCCAGGTTCCGGACCCATTCAGACAGAGCCAGACATTTACAGAAACGTGGCTTTGCTACTGATGGAGGGCAAAGTGGAGGATGGGACTTGAGAGACGTCGCAACCTCGGGTGGCTTCTTGCCACTGAACCCCAGAATCAGCCCCGTCACCTACCTCGTCACCAGCAAAGCTGACCACTCTGGCTTCCCCACCCGGCTCGCTCCGTGCTGAGACCGCAGCAGAGCAATGGCCTCCCCGGTGGTCCGTCCCACAGAGACAGCCTGGTCTGGCTAAGCCAGGCGCTCACTTCCGGCTCTCCAGCCCCAAGGAAGACGCAGCAGTGTTGCCCTGAGGGGTCGCTGTGATCCTTCCCCACGGAAACCAGAGGAGTGGAGAGAAACATTCCCTCCTACCTCTGACGCCGTGATCTTTTCTAGGACTTTGTAATGACTGAAAAAATAGGATTTCATTGCTTTTAAAGGATGGCTGGTTATTTTTGAGCGCAGAATATAGAAGAATCCTTGATTCTCAGTGTTCTGTGTTTAATGAAGACAATAGATTTTTATCATCAAAACTGAAGTAGGGCAGTGCCCTGAGCATTTAATTGCCAGTGAGAAACAGCTCTTGATAACGTGGTGAAGAATAAAGCACCTATGTTTCTAGAATTTAAGATACGGTTGATTTTGTCTTTATTTGCTTCCTTCCTATTCCTTCAGGATCTGGAGGAACTGGAAAAGGCACTTCAGGTCAAACTGTCGAGCACAGAAACTCTGGGCACCAGTGACTCTGGGTACGTCACCCTGGCAGACGTGGAGAAGAAGGAGAGGGAGCACAGCGAGCAGCTCCTAGAGGATGTGCGTGTGGTGACCCGCGCCCTTATGAAAACCCTGGTCTCTGGGACGGTGGCGCCGGCTGGTTAGAGAGGGTGCTGGGAGCAGGTCTCATCCTTGAATTCCCCCGGGTGCTCTGCCCTGGAGGCAGCGATTCGGTTCTCAGGTTCAGACACAGAGAAGGGGTGATTGGGGAGCACAGATTTACAGAGGAGGGATTTTGATTTATATTCTAGGCTGACCTTTTTACCATTCAAGGCAAGGATTGCTCTGGCCCTCAATGTCACAACTGCCCAGGGGTAGGGCAGAGGCCAGCTGCCGACTTCTCAACCCCCCAGGCCGGCCTCAGGAAGCATGTCTCCAATTCCAGAGGGGATGGCTGCCTGAAATCAGTCTTTTTTTCTTTCTCTCTTTTTTTTTTTTGTGTGTATGGGGGGGTTTCACCTCCCCCTACCACATATCATATATCAAACGACATTTCCCTGGCTCTTGATTTTGGCCAGTCACTTTGCTGGACACTGGGGACTCAAAACTCACTTCGATGTGGCTGTGCACAAGAGGTGTCAGGGAGACCCAGGTGAGCAGAGGAGAACTTTGTTTCCCAGAGCTGTGACAGGTGCACCGGAAAGACCAAGACACCACAGGGCTGGGAGTCCTTTCACTCCAGGGCTTGGGGGGTATCTGTAGAGGAAGGGACTGAGAGGCCAGCTGGGGACAGTGTAGATGCTGGCCAGCGGGCATGCAGAGGGGGAGCCAGAAGGAGCTGAGAGCCGGGAGAGCAGGAACAAGCCACAGAGGTCTGGCTGGGGGTTTTTCACACACTAGGGAGGTGGGAGTCAAGGAGTGGGAAGCAGGGGTGGCTTCGTCCTCCTCCTGTGTTCAAAGGACCACAGGGTCTGTGCAGAGGATCATGAAGAGCTGTTGGGCAAACCCAGCAGGACCTTCATGGGGCAAGTGCAGTCAGGACAGAGGTAAGCAAAGGTCCGAGAGCTGCTAGGTGATGCATTGTGGGGTGGTGGGTGGGAGGAAGAGGGTGTCCAGCTCAGCTCTGCAGAAGTAAGGGTCCCAGAGCAGCCAGCTGGGAGGGAGATGGTAAGCCCCGCTGCAACGTCTCCTGTGGGAGAGGCCAGCAGAGAGGGGCTTTGAAGGCCCATGTAAGAAGATGAACGTCCCTGGAGCTGTGGAGAGGCGCTCAGCCAGGTACTCAGCCGGGATTCCTGTGTTGGTGACTCCCCAGCACTGAGTAGAACACCGTGGAGAGAGTTCATAGTTTTCATAAGATTCTTGAAAGTATGGGTGGTGGCACCAGCTCTGGGTGCTGCCAGTGCTTAAGGTGGAAAGAGAAGGACAGGAGAGGCAGGGGAGGGGTGTGTGGGCCTGGGAAGACTGCAGCAAGTCTCATCACGGATGTGCAAACCACGAGGGTTTGGGGAGAAGCCAGTGGACGGCCTGGCCCCAAAGGGGTGGAAGGAAGAGGCCCAGCGGAGGGCGTGGGCTGTGCCTGGGCATGCGGGAGCGTGCCGGAGGGTCTGCGTTCTCCCACATGAGCTGGGAGGAGTGTCATCTGAGAGGTGAGGGGTGAGAGCAGCGAGAATGTGAGAGTGTTGGGGAGGTTGAGGTCCCTGCTGGGGGTGCATAGGAGGTGACCAGTGGCAGATGACAGGTTTCCTAGCTGCGGCAAGGCCCCTACGGTGGCAGGCTGCTTCACCAGGTGCCCGCTCTCTCCTGGCAAGGCCAGGCTGACTCAGAGCTCAGGGTCCACAGGGCTTGGCCCCTCCAGCAGGAAGTGACACATAGGTGTCTGAGAGGCCCAGCCAAGATGGAGAAAATCCAGGCAGTGGGCTTAAAGGACCTGAACCAAATCCTGGCTCTGACTCTCCCGAGCTCCAGGACCAGAGCCCCTTCCTCCCAGGGCGTGTTATCCAGAAGCAAGCCTGTGAGGCGGGCAGCCTGGCCCACGCCCGAGTGCCACGCAGCACAGCTGGGATCATCGATCTCAAAGCTCAGAGAGGCTCCCATGTTGCAGATTAAAGCCCCCAAGTTTCTAAGCCATGTGTGTGTTGGTTTACACCCTGCTCCTGATAAGATGGAAGGGAGAGAGAATTTACAAGCAAAATATTGTCACAATCAGCATCATCTCTGCAAATTGTTCTTTCGTACTTTAAGGATAATAACTAATATTTAAATGGCCATTCATGTTTTTATCTCCAACCGTGTTTAATTCCTTTTAAAGACCGTGAAGCTCCCAGGAGCACATTGTTGCATTTCCTGTGTCCCCAGCTCGTAGTCACAACCAGTTGAAGAGCCCTTAAGTGGGGTGAGCTCATTGCTTTCCTTCCTGATAGGCAGCTCACTGGTGTGCTCTGAAAAGCCACCTCGGAACTGACTGGCACCTGCCACAGGCCGGGGAGGACCCTCGGTAGAGTGCAGTCATTCCAGGAGAGACTCACTGGCATTGCGGAGTGGCCCAGTCTCCGCCTGCGAGGAGGAATGAATTGCAGTTCCCAAGCCCGAGCTGTGGAGCCCTCTTAAATAAGTTCTCCCCCCGTCACTTGCTTCTCATGCTCATTTCACAGATGGAAGCTTTCTGGAAACAGATGGAAAACATCCAGCACTTTCTTGTGGACCAATTTAAATGTTCCAGCTCCAAAGTGCGGCAGCTCATGGCTACGCTGACAGAGACAATGATTGCAGCCGAAGGGCTCTTGTGCACGTCTCAGGACCTGCAGGCTCTGGTAACGTGGGGCCGGGCACTAGGACATTCAAGCTGGAGGTGGGGAATCCTGTGGCCCAAACACCTTAGGGAGCATTATGTTGAACACCTTCATATTATAGGTGGGGATGTAGCATCCCCAGTGAATCCATCCACCCACCTATCCGTCTACCCACACCTTTATCCACCTACCCATCCATCTACTTAGCCATCCACCCACTCACCCATCCACCCGTCCACCCACTCATTCATCTACTCATCCATCCACACATACACCCATCTATCCACCCATATATTCACCCACCCGTTCACCCATCCATTCATTCCTTCATCCATCCATCCATTTACCTACCCATCCACTCACCCATCCATTCATCCTCCATTAGTAGAGTAATAGAAGCTCAGAGAGGTTAAGTTTTGTGTTTAAAATCATACAGGTCCAGGTGGCTGAGCCTGGGTTCAAAGGTGGACCCATAGATTCCTCTAAGCCAGTGGTTTGCATCCTTGGCTACACATCAGAGTCACTGGGGAGTTTTAAACCCCAAGATGCCAGTGGCTCCACTCCAGACCTGAATCCGTGGGGGTGAGGCCCAGGCACAGGCATCTTTTAAAGTCTCCCAGTGACACATGGGCAGTCAGCAGGAAAAGCTGACACTGTGTCCATACCAGTGGACATCACCCCTGCTGCTCCGCATCACCATCTGGGGGTTTTAAAACCTGATGCCAGGTTGCACCGCAGCCTGATTAAGCCTGACCTCAAGGTGGAGACCACCTGGGACCCAAGCATCAGGACTATTGCAGTATCTCCAGGCAATTTCAACACGTAGCCAGGTTTAAGAACCAACACTCAGGGCTATGGACACTCTCAAATCTGCACATTAATAAGGTTCCCAGGTATACACTGTGGTTCATCACCATGTACATGTAAGGTCTTTGGGCCGAGGGGGCGGGTGCTGGGATTGGCCCAGGGCCTCCTGTGTGCTAGGCAGGGGCTCTACCACTGAGCCACCCACCACCGTCTCCTTGTTTCCTTGGCACCCATAAAGATAGACAGAGCAGATATTCACAGCGAGCAGGAGCAGAGCCAACTAAGTAGCTACGTGACGAACCTAGGGTCCTGCCCCAATGACATGGTGGAGTCCCAAGCTTCCCAGTTTGCCACTCATCAGAAGGTGAAGCTGATATGAGCAGATCATCATAACGATGAATGGAAAGGGTTACAGGCTATGACTGCAGAAGAGGGACACGTCAACTCTGTCCCCGGCATCCTGTGTACCAAGAGGAAATATGTAGCCGGGCTCTCAGAACTCATTCTTGATGAATTCTGGGAGAATCCAAGTTCTCAGGCTGGTGCCTGAGTGGCTCTGCCCAGGCATTTGGACCTGGAATGTGTCACATAGCATCACTCAAAACTGGAACAGCCCTTAAAGTGGACCCAGAGGTTATCAGGTTCAGTCTCTTGAGACAGACAAGGGGGGGAAAAACTCACCAAGAGATGGAGATGGCTGTGGATAATTATAGAAATGGTGGATGTTCGTGGAGGATGAACTTCTCTGGCTCTTATTCCAAATGCCTGGCATGTTTTATTTAATGCTGTTAGTGGTCAGGTTGGGAGGCTGTGCCCAGGTCAGCAGCTCTGAGGGACGAGCCAAGTTCCAGCGGCGTGGACTTTGACGGCTCCACTACAGCTACTATTGGGGACAGGGGTGGCCCCCGTGCTCCTGCGCACTGGTCTCCATTCTCCTCTCTCCTTGAATCTAAACCCAGAGGTGGCGTTGACCTGCTGAGCCCTGCTCTGGAGAGTGCAGGTCTCTCTGCATCCTCCCCCGCTGCCAGAGGCCAGCCTCAGCGCTAGCAACCCTGCTTCCTCTGGAGAGCCACTTGTCCTCGCGCGCCCCCTAGGGGTCCTGGCTGCTGAGTGTTCACAGCAAGTGTGGGCCTGAGGGAGGAGGGTTCACAGCAAGTGTGGGCCTGGGAATGAACCGCGGGTTCCCTGCATAGCTGGGGGGTCTCTCTCCTTCCCCCTTCCACACCTGGTTAGATCAGAAACCAGCAGGACCACGCAGTGGGGACACCGTGACTTAGGCATGACCCTACCTTCAAGATCTCAGTCCAGCCAGGAACTGTCCTTCTAGCTCAAAGACCTGAGTGGACGATGCAGGGAAAGTGAGGAGAGGACCGGTCAGGCAGGGAGCAGGAGGAGGCAGTGAGAGTGTCCCGGGACATCACTTGCATGAGCAAAGCCCTGAGGAAGCTGAGGGTGGGCACCTATAGCCAGGAGCAGGGAAGAGTGCAGAACAAGTCCCCAGAGGCCTGTGTGCTGTGTCTAGGAGATCGGGGGGTTGGGGGCTCAGGGGTGACAGCCGTGTCAGCATCTCTGAAAGACCCCCCTGTTAGTGATGCCTGGGCAGAGCAGAGGCAGAGGTGGGAGATGGGGAGAGGAGACCAGAAGTGGCCTGCAGTGCCAGGCCAGTGGTGTCCCAGCCTGAGCTAGGTGGGACAGTGGGCAGGAGGGAGGGAAATGCAGATCTGGGCTGAGTGGTGTCGTGGTCCCCCGTGTGTTCTGTGCCCCTGCACCTGACCAGCTCTGTTTTCAGAGACGTCAGGACCCATGTTCACCTCTAGTCAGCCTTTCCCACCGTCCTCTTCAGGAGTCCGGTCCTGCTAACGGATACTGTGGGAGGCCAGGCGGGAGCCTGCCGTGAACTCAGGGAGCGGGGCCACTCTTCAAGCTAGCCTTGCCATTTAGAATCCCCGAAACCCCAGGACTCAGTTTCGAGGCTCCAAAACCAAGATGTCTGTAGCTTGGATTCTTGTTTTTCCCCCCAGGGATATGTGGAGGCTATGGGGCCACGTGCACTGGGGGCAGGGTGACCATAAGGAACATGGGTTTTCCTCCCCTGTGTGTGTATGTTGGTCTCCTGCCCATGAGGGCAGCCCTCTAGAGAGCTGGGGGGGTCTCTCTCCTTCCCCCTCGCCAGGTGCTAAGTGCACTCGCCAGGTGCTAAGTGCACAGTCACCCGTGGGTGCCTCCGTGCCCCCTGCAGAGGCGTTTCCACCCCTACCTGGGCATCGGGCACAGGAGGCTCCGAGAGAGTTCAAGGCCGGTGCTCTGGTGGTAGGATTGGAGCCCTAGCCTCCTCCAAAGCTGGACAGAGGCTCATGGCGGAACACTGAGGCCTTGGCTGTGGCATGGGATTCCCCCGCAGGACGCCCTGGAGAGAGCCATGGGGCGGGCGCACATGGCAAAAGTGATCGAGTTCCTGAGGATGCAGATCCAGGAGGAGACCAAGTGCCGACTGGCCGCCATCTCCCGCGGCCTGGAGCTGCTGAGTGTCCAGGGCAAGCTGTCCGGGCGGCAGAAGGAGGAGCTGCTGACCCAGCAACACAAGGCCTTCTGGGAGGAGGCAGAGAGCTTCAGCAGGGGTGAGAGGGTGGCCAGGCCCCGGGGGCCAGGGTGACACTGACGTAGAGCTGTGGCCATGTGGCCCGTCATACCAAGCGCAGGCTGCCTTCCCGTCCCGCCCGGGGCTTGGCTTCCCTCTCTGGAGAGCAGTTAACAGGGCTCCTCCTGAGGTCAGGGTCACCTTCCCCATCTAATTCAGGAGGCAAAGGAGAGGGGAGGGCCTCGACCAGAAATGGATGTTGAAGTGCCCAGAAGCCAGCTATGCGTCTGCTGAGACCACCACCCTGCAGGCCTGGCTCGCCAGCACAGGGGTGGGGGGAGGCCAGCGTGGAGAGGGGGCTGGTGTGCTGAGCTGCATGTCCCCACACCCGCACCTGCCCCAGGGCTGCCCTGGGGGTGGGCAGGGCAGGGGTCAAGCTTAGAAGGCATCCAGGCTGTCCTTGAGGTAGCACAGTAGTAGGACCCATTAGAAGAAACCCAAGTCTGTCCCCTGCAGACACCTGGGGACCATCTCTGCCAGCAGCCCCAGCTTCCTTGCCCCCTTGGCAGAGTGGCCCACTCCAAGTCCTGGCTAGAGAGTCACTTCCTGTCCTGTGGCTCATTTCAATTCCAGAGTTTGTCCAGAGAGGCAAGGACCTGGTCAAGGCGTCCCTGGCTCGCCAGGCAGAGGGGACAGCAACGCTCATGCTGGCCCAGGAAGAGGAACGGAGGGCCTTCCTGGCCAACTCCCACCTGAACTCGGACCCCGAGGAGTTTCTCAAGGTGACCTGCCCTGTCCCCACCTGGCCCTCGGGTGTGGGGGGGTGAGCCAGGTGCGGGCTCCGTTCTTCCTCGGGGCGTGGGAGGCCCAGGACTCATGAGGCGTGGTGTCGACTGCCTCCTGTTTGTCAGCCGAGTGGCCATAGCCTGGACCCTGTGCCCTGCCTGCTCCCCTGTCAGCGAGCCACGGGAATCACAGGCTCCTCGCTGGCTGCCAAGGACAGGGAGGGGGAATCTGCAGGAAGCGAGGCTGTGGGTACATCTCAAGGCTCATGGGGTGGTGGCCCTGTGTGGTGGCACCAGTGGAGTGTTGTACGGTTCAGAGGGGACAAGCCTGTGCCCATGTGTGTGTCCGGCCCTCACCCAGGACTGGCCCAGGGACAAGGTGTGGGTGCTGGGTCAGCCTCCCCAGGTGTGGGTGCTGACTCTGCTGCCAGGTAGCAGGGAGCTTGGACACCTGCCTACCCGCCCCTGGCCTCGTGTCACAGTGTTGTTAGGGCTGAGGCAGGTGAGGGGCAGCCCTGGCCCGGCCGTCTCCGGGTGCCTCTGCCCCACAGTAGCACTGGCTCAGCTTGGCTCAGATCTGCTCAGGGGCTGGCGGGACAGTGTCTGGTCCAGCCTCAGCCCAGAACCCAGGCACAGAAGTCACTGGGGGCCAGCAGCACCTCAGTGAGAGGCCTCAGGAGGGGACGCCCTAGAGAGCAGAGGCCCCCACTGCAGTGTCCCCTCCCAGGGCCATCCCGAGAGGGGCCCACCCTCTGTCCTTGCCCTACCAGAGCCTCTGTCACATCAGAGGCCTCTGAGGCCCTGCTGGCCTGCCCCATTTCCCCAAGCAGTCCTGCCTGGTAGCTGACCACACTGACCGCTCACGGTCAGTATCGCCCCCTGCTGGGATCCCTGGGGTGGTCCCTAGCAGCATGAGTCAGAGAAAGATGGCTGGGGGCAGGAGGCCAGGACAAAGAGTGACAGGGGTGACCAGTGGGCCTCTGCACTTGGGGAGTAGCGAAAGCCAACTCTGTGGTTCCCTGGAAGTCAGATGTGCTGGTCCCGGCCTCAGCCACAGTTTGTAAGCCACAGAAGCTGCGTGACAGTTCTGGGCCTCAGATTCCCTGTGCACAAATCGAGGTGAACATCCCTCCCATCTGAGCCACCAGGATAAGTTGAGAGTTTTTCTAGAAGAAATTAGGGCTGCATTTTCCACCAGACCCAGTTCCTGTTTTAATCACAGGCCTTTCACGAGGTCCTGGAGCGGCAGAGGCTGATGCGAAGTGACCTGGAGGAGGAAGAGGAGCTCAGAACCACAGAGGCCATGGCTGCCCTCTGCCAGGTGGGTGGCCTCAGCTACTGGCAGAGAAACTTCAGGTTTTGTATGGGCAAGAGCCGCACATCCTTGGGCAGGGACCCAGGCAGGCTCAGGGTGACAGGAGGTCACATCCCTGCTGGGTGCTGGTCCAGCCCTGCCATCTGCTCACTGATGGAGCCCTGCCTGAGGGGCTGCCAGAGCTATGGGAAAGCTGTGCGAGGGCCGGGGTGAGTACCCCAGGGGGTGGCACAGCGGGGAAAGGCAGGACTCAGGAGCCGGTCAGCATCTGTGTCTTCTCCTCCGCCCTGTTAATGTGGCACAGTGGATTGATGCCGGTAATGGCGACTGCCTGTGAATTTAGAACTTCTTCATTTTCTCTGGTGAATTTAACTGTTCCAACTCTCCCTTCTCTTTGGGACTCCATTAAACATTTAGACGTTCTTGTTCCTTCTGTACCACCATCTACACCATTTTTTCCATCCTTTAGGATCTCCCTGCTTTGTTTTGGGTAGTTTTTTTCTCCCAGTGCATAATTCTCTCTTCAGCTACATCTAAACTACAATTAAACCCATATGTTGAGTTCTTAACACTGGACAGTGTTTTTCAATTCTAGGGTTTCTAGTTGGCTCTTTTTTAACTTAACACTATTACTTTTTTATAATTTCTGGGTCTTTCCTTAAAGGTTCAAAAGCAGACTTTAGCACAATGAGTATAGGAAGCGTTGGTACTTGAAATCTGGGTCTTGAATTTATACTTTGCAGTACCTGTGGGCTTGCTCTGCATGTCTACTGTGTGGCTTTACGGTTAGAGCGTCCTGCCTCCCCCTGTTGTCTGGTCTTCTGGGTATTTTGTGGAGATATTCCAGGTTTGCACATTTACTTGTAGAATGTGCCAGTATACAATGATGTTCTCTTTCTCCAAAGGGGAGTTTCTCTGGCTTCTGCCATATGGTCAGGCTTCTAATGACCCAGTGTCACCTTCATTCGAAATCAAGGCTTGAAATGTCCTGGACGGGCCAGTCAGGTTTTCATTTTTGTAACAAACACCTGAAAACAAACAGCTTTTAAAAAGGAGACGTGTGTCTTGGCTCCCAGTCCAGGGGTCTTGTCTGTGGTCAGTGGGCCCCATTGCTCTTGGCCTTTGAAGAAGCAGCACCTCACGGGGAGCTGGGAAGCAAGGAAGCGGGGAGACCAGTGTCCCACAGTCCCCTTCACGGGAACTCTCCAGTGACTTAACACATGCCCTGAGGCCCACATCTTAAAGATCCCGCCGCCTTCCAAGAGCACCAAGCCGAGGACCCACCTTTAACACCTGGCTCTTTGGGGGCATCCCAGGTCCAAACTGCTGAGCTGGGCAGCCGAATGACCGGATGCAGGTTGCAGCCTGGGGAGGTCCATGTGGACTGGTTTCCTTCCACGTCACCCTGGTCTCTCCAGTGCCGTTTCTCCAGGTCCCAAGCCTAAGCGTGAAGGGCCAGGTCCACATGATGGGCCACCGCTCCAGCCTCTTTCCCCTGCAGCTCAGGCTGTCCGAAGGCCTGCCGGGCAGCTCAGCCAGCTCTGCTGGGCAGGCCCCGGGGAGAAACAGTTATCCATGTAGCATATTAGCTAGGAGTGTGAGTTCCAGAGTCCAGTGGCCAGGGCCCACCATCTGCAGACTGTCCATTCTATGCCTCTGCTTCCCCATCTGTGAAATGGTGGAACTATAACAGAGCCCCTGCGTTGGACTGGCATAAGGATTGAGTAAGATTCTAGATGAACAGGGTTGACGACATTCTTTGGCAGTGGTAAAAATTCATCAATACTGATGACTATAATTATCACCAGCAATTTGCCAGTCTCTCTGCTAGACCTGCACATGAGGTAGCAAGAGAAAACTTTGCACAGTGGTCCCCGCTCATCTTCAAGGCTACATTTCAAGAACCCCCGGGGATGCCCAAACCTCAGATGATGAAGAATCCTATATATACTATGTTTTCTTCTATTCATACAACTTGATTCATAATTTAGGCACAGTAAGAGATTAACAACAATAACTAACAAAAAAGTACAATTATAAAAACATACAGGAATAAAAGTTTTATGATTGTACCCTCTTATTGCACCATCATCATCCTTCTCCTCACAATGATGTGAGATGACATAGTGTCTATTTGAGGAGCTGAGTGACACAGGCATTGTGACATAGTGCTAAATACTACATAAAGACTACCTGAACACAAGCACTGTGATTCTGCAACAGTGCATTTGATAAGAAAGACACTGATGGACTGACTGACCGGTGGGTGGGTAGCATATACAGCATGGATACACTGGACAAAGACATGATTTGCATCCCAGGCAGAATGGAGTTGGACAGCAAGATATTTCATTATAATACTCAGACCAAAGTGTAATTTAAAAACTACACATTGTTCACCTCTGGAATTTTCCATTTGATATTTTTGACCCATGGTTGACCACAGATAATTGAGACTGTGGAAAGAAAAACTTAGATAAAGAGGGAGTGTGGTACTTCAGAAGGTCTAGTCCATGAGAAGGATGATCAACCAGGGGCTAGGAGGGGTGTTAAGTGCTGGAGGGTGGCAGCAAAGGGAAGTGCCTAAGACCACCCACCAGGTGGGTGATTCCCCAGGACAGCTCACACAGCTCAGTGCGTGGTGCACCCATGGCTGAGATTTGTTAGCAGTGAGAGGATTCAAAGCAAAACCAGCAAAAGGGAAAGGTGTGTCGGTCGGTGAAGTCCAGGGGGACTCTGGTATGAGCTTCTGAGTCCACTCCCTGTGGAGCCCCATGGCATGGACCTCATTCCCAGCAGTGAGCTGTGACAGCATGTGCCAGGTGATGTCTACCAGGGAGCTTGCCTGCGCTCGGGAGTCCAGGCTGTGGTCAGGGTCAGCCCAGGGGTGCCCTCTGCCCGGGGTTCACCACGAGTGAGGTGTGTAGCTCAACCACTTGCACCCTGTCCAACCTGTGGCCAGGGGTCTTGCCAGTGAAGGGAACTTGGAAATGAGCTTGGGAACAGATGAGGGATTCCTGGATAGGGAAGGAAGTGGACATGAGTCCTGTTGGTGCAGGAAGCATTTGGGGACGGCAGCCAGCTGCTGGGTTGGGGAGGATGTGAGACGCAGCTGCAGACCTGAGGAGGACCAGCCTCTGCTGACCAGGAGCTGTGGTCCAGGGAGGGTGGTAGTGAGATAGATGGTGGTTCAGATGCTGGTAATCAGAAAGCTGTGGGAGCCCAGGGTCAGAAACGCCCATGTTGGTCTCCGCGGCCCAGGGAAGGCTCTGTAGAGAGAGGACTGTGTGCAGGGTAGCTGCAGAATGAGGGGCCTGCCCAGGTGTACGGTGCCTGCAGGTGAGGTGAAGGGCGTGCATAGCAAAGCAGGCAGTGAGAGGCCCCTTATGTGTGAGCTGACACGCAGCACACGTGTTGATGAGCATCACACCCATGTGGTATGATACGATATGGAAGCAGAGAGGGAGAGGCCAACATTGTGGAAGTGGCCATCTTTGTGCCGGGAGGGTGAGGAAAGGTGTTGTTGGGGGACCTAGTGCCTTCCAACGGAACCTGAGTGGTTTGATGTCTTAAATGTGTTTAAAAAAAAAAAAATCAGAGTGTGGATTCACAGGTGCTAAACATACTATTATCTGCAGTGTGAGGATTTTTCATAACTTAAAGGAATGCATTTTTAGAAAGCGACTGGGGTCAGGGAGGTAGGACCAGGCAGCAGAGGACCCCTGGGGCTGGATTCAGAACTGCCTGGAAGCCCCGCTGGGTAATTTCCCTGTGAGGGAACAAGGGTCTTTCAAGTTAATTGAGCCTGGAGGCTCATGAAGATCTGAGGTTCTGACCTCCTGTGCCTGGAGGGGGAGGGGGAGAGGAAGGGGGAGGGACAGGCCTGTGAATCTAGGAGGGGACTTGGGAGGCCCCTGGTGGGGGGTAGAGGAGGTGCAGAGACCAAGGGCTCTGGGGGTCAGGAGGCAGGCTGAGGCTTGTGGGGGTGGGCAGAGGGCGGGAAGACTGGGCTTGTGCCTGTGTGTGTGTGTACGTGCGTTGGTGTGTTCACGTGTGTGTGCGCGCACTAGTGTTAACTGCACATGGAGACCTACGTGCATGCCTGTGTGAGAGTGCATGCGTGTGTTCGTGTGTGTTTGTGTGCACATCGCGCACATGCGATTGGAGTCTTCCCGTCTCTGGGTCTCGGGGGCATGGGAGGCAGAGGCCCACAGAGGCGGGCTGGGCCCGGGCAGGGCAGGGCAGGGCAGGACGTGACCCCGCCCTGGTGTGGTTCTCTCTTCAGGAGCTGTACCGCAGCACCATGGGCACTTTCCAGGGCTGTGTGGACGCCCTGTTCCTGCAGACGCTGGGCGCCCGTGGCCTCCCCAGGGCGGAGTGTGAGGCCCTGCGGCAGGAGGTCCAGGAGGACGCAGCACGGCGGCTGGGCAGGTCTGATCGCTTCCGGAGGCGGCAGTGGGGACTTCTGCAGGAACTCCTGGAGCGAGACCAGCAGGTGGGCACCCTGGTGTGGGATCGGGGGTAGTTTTGAGCCAGGAGGGATGGTGGGCTGGGTGTGGGCATCCCCAGCACGTCCTCAGGCGCTCCACAAAGACCCTCGCTAGCCTTTGGCCACACCCACCCAGGGCCAGTGTGAGAGCCAGAGCCAGCTCCTCTAGGCAGGGTCGGGAGACAGGGGTCAATCCTGAGGCTTCAGGAAGAAAGGCGGGCGTTCAGGTGGTGGGAGGGCAGCGCATCAGGCATGTGCCAGACAGCACCATGGCCCTCAAGATGTCCACATCCCAGTGCCAAACCGTGGACCTGTGTGACCTCACATGGCCAAAGGGACTTTGTGGTTGTGATTAATGATCTTGAGACAAGGACATCATCCTGGATTGTCCAGCTGGACCAAGGTCACCCTGGGGCCCTCGTGAGAGGGAGCAGAGCGTGAGGACCAGAGGAGGAAACAGGAAGGTGTGAGCAGAGCTCCGAGTGGCACAGCGTGAGCCTGGGGACACTGGCAGCTTGTCTAGAATCTGGAAACGGCAGAGGACAGGTCCCCTACCTCAGGAGCTTCCTGCCCAAACTGGCCATGCGGCACCTCGATTTCAGCCCGTGAAGACCCATGTGATGACTCTGACCTCGGAGCACCTGCCACAGCAGTTTCTACGGCTCTAAGCCACAGAGGCGGTGAGCCACAGCAGCCATGTGAAACTCACAGTGGACATTTTTATTTTTAAAACATTAAAAACTGTTAAATGAAAGAAGGAACCCCTGACCTGGCCGTCCCCAGCCACCGGCGTTTCTTTCTCCCTTGCTTCCTGCAGCCTGGGGGCTGAACGGCTCAGGTGCTTGCTATCTCAGGACTCCTGCAGTCGGCAGTGGCCAAGTGACAGCCCTGACCAGGTGTAGCACCACGAAGAGCTTCTTGTCCCTAATGCCAAAGCCAGGTTGTCCCTAATGCCAAAGCCAGGTTGCTGGTTGCCGCAGTCTGGCTGGGCACAAATGCCGCAGTCTGGCTGGGCACACAATCACGAGCCACCACACAGCTTGTAGATTCAAACAGCAACTCTTTATTCCCGAACTCACACCAGCCGTCTACAAACACGTTCTGGGGAAATCCACGTTCTCTGCCCAAATCCACGTTCTCTGCCCAAATCCACCTCCACTGGGCTTCTATCTCCAAAAATATACTGTCTGAATCCCGTGAGAACTCAAGGGGAACTCAGGCAGCAGGATACGCCCTATTCCCAGCAGGAATAATCTTAAACCTTAAACCTGGAACCTAAACTGGGAACGCCCTAAACCCGATTATGTTAAACCGGGAACACCCTAATCCTAATCCGCCTTGGTCCTTGAGCAAGGTCACCTACATTCAATGTCACTGCACATGGGGTACACTGGCAAGGAAATTGTCATACCTACTTGGCTAATGGCTCCCAGCAGCTGGTGTTCCCGTTCTTCCTGCCTAGGACATGGACACCCCTTGCCCTGACTAGAGCAGTCAGCTGGGGCCCTCAGGAGTGAGCAGGGGCCCTGCCCTGGACCACCTGCCCCGGGTGCTTGTTTCGCTGGGTTTTCAGTTGGGTGCAAAAGGCCACAAGAAGGGATGCCTGTGACCGGGGCTCTCTGGAGAGCTGGGAAAGTGCACGGGAAACACGAGAGCTGGGCGGACATGGCCTCCGGCAGCCGCGGGGCAGCACGGGGCGGGTTTCCTGCTGTCTGGGTTGGTGGACCCTCTGATTCACCTCGGCCCTGCCAGCTGGTGGCCGTGTTGCCCTGCGCCAGGCACCTGCCCCTCTCCTGCACTTGGGAGTCCTCCGAGGACCCCTCCCCTGGTTTGTTTGCACGCTCTGATTCAAGGCCCCGTGGCCCGGATGTAGCAGGTGCTCTGGAAGGACTGTGTCCATCTCCAGCCAACAGCAGTGCAGCTATGGTCACCCTGACCCTGTCTGTGTCCTGCCCGGGATCTAAATGAAGTCAAGTCATCCAATTCACCAAACCCAGACCTTTGTGTTTCCAGTCTGGTAAGTGGGGAAGCCTTGAGAGCTGGCAGGTGAGTCAGTGTCCCCCTGGCACTCTCCACAGTTGAGAAGGCCTGGAGACCACCAGGGCTTTACAGAAAGGCCCCTGACCTGCAGCGCATGCCCAGGGTGTGAGACAGAACGGACACCAGGCTGGAGACGGCCAGTTAGCTGACCTCCCAACTCTGCTCTTGCATGGCTTACAGAATGTCTCAGAACCCCAGCTTGTGTGACAACTAGGGACCAAAACACCCAGCAGGTTGCCATGAGATAGTCATGTGAAGAGTCTTGCACAGTGTCCCTGTGGTCACCTGATGATGTGGGCATGGAAAGAATCCTGAATTTCATTTCCCACAAAATGCCCACGATTCGGCCACCACTCTCTGGTCACATTATTGAAGTACCAGCTTGCGACTGGCTCTTTTTGTCTTTTACGAATTTATTGGTGACGTATGACAGTGATTCTCCCTGGGCTTGTGGGGAAGTTTCTCAAGAGGAGTTTTGCATTTGAGAAGCAAGAGGAAGAGCTAATGCCTTCGACAGCTGATTAAAGTGTAACCTAAGCCAGCTGGCTCAAGGTGTGGATGTCCTAACTAATTCACTGATTGATCGCTTAATTGCCTTAAATTACCACAAGGCCTTTAGAGACCCAAGTGCTCTCCACCTGTCATGTTTCCTTGTTGATGAAAACGAGTGAGACACGAACTCTCTGTTGCTCAGATGAGGATTCGTCTTGAGGAGCCCCAACAAAACTATGTGTGGAAAATAAGCACACCCAGACCACGAGGGCCTCTTCCACATCATACTCTGTCCCACACACCACGGTGGCCCCATGACCTGTGCCTTATGGAAGTTGGTGAATTGTGGAATCTGTGGAATGCACAGTTGGAGTGGGTAGCACATGGTGTTGTCAGAGCCTGATCCACTCGGGCACACAGGTTCTGGGCTTCTCCAGCACAATGGCCACCCAGGGGTCCACACCCTGCTCCCTAAAACCAATGTCAGGTTCAAGGCTAAAAGGACTTTGCAGATGTGATTATGTCAGGGGCCTTGAGATGGGGAGAGTCCCCTGCTTAGCTGGCCAGGGCCAGTGTAATCACAGGGGTCCTTGCAATGGAAGAGGGAGCAGGTGTCCGAGCAAGGTGGTGTGAGAAAGACACTGGCAGCCATTGTTGGATGCCATGATGGAGGAAGGGGCTCCAAGCCAAGAACAGCAGGTGCCCTCCAGGGGCTGGGAAAGGGGAGACATACAATAGTGATTCACCTCGGACAGATATCCAAAAGTATGAGATAATAAATGTGTGTTGTTTTGAGCCACTACGTTTGTGGTCATTTGTTATAGCAGCCACAGGAGACTAATACACCACTGCATGGAAATCTGTGTTTTTAACAAGGGGTGTGTGGCAGGTGTGGCATTTTGTGCCTGACATAAAACTCTCCAGTTAGAATTGTGGCTCACTCACCTGTCAGCCTAAAGCAGCCTCATTTATCACAGAGTGTCTGTGGCTCAGGCATCCAGGCCCAGCTTGGCTGGATCCTCTCTCCAGGGTCTCTCTCAAGGCTGCAACCAAGGCAGTGTTGGGGTTGGGGTCTGCTCTGAAGGCTGGACTGGAAAAGACTCTTATCCAAACTCACCTCTGGGGTTCTTGGCAGGACTCAGAGCCTTAGGAGTTGTTGGATTGAGGACTAATTACTCCCACATTTTTACTGCAGTTTGGAACCTGTCTTGAACTCAGCTCTGACGGTGAGGTCTCATTCGGGTGGTCAGTAGGCATGTAAGCTAGTGCAGCCCAAACAGAACCTCTGCCCTTCCTGCCAACCTGCCCATCATACTCTCCCCTTAACTGGGCAAAAACATTGCTCCTCCTTCTCTCACACCCTTCGTCCTGTGGACAGAACACCCCACTGGCCCTACCTCCAGCCTCACCCAGAAAGTGGGCACTTCCTGTCATCTCTGTCCCAGCACGGTGGTCACAGCCACACGCCTCTTGTCTAGCTCACTGCAGCAGCTGGCCTGCCCTCCCTGAAGTCTCAATGCCCAGCCAGAGTGGAACTTTCAAAACACACTACAGCCACGCATCTTTAGGAGGCGTGTTTATTATCTCACACTTTAACATCCCTGAAGTTGAAGTACATCTTAATTTAACTGGCAATGACTTTTGTGTCTTAGTGATACCTAAAATAGTTGGGCATCTTACAACCCTCAGCACTATAGATGACAAAAGACAGAAAGTCACATCTCTGCTCAAAACCCCCAGTGGCCAGCGGCCTCGTCATGTCCTGCAGGACCTGACCTGTCAGACCTGGTGCCCTCTGACCCCACCTGCTCCCTGCCCAGGCTCCTCCGTGCCTCACTGGCTCTGTGCTCCCCGGGTCTTTCTCACAATGAGACCTAACTAGTTTACAGCCCCTTTCCTGTCCCTGTAACATGTGAAAGTTTGGAGCCAAAAGAGCAAAGCCACGGCACGGCCTGGTAGCAATGTCCGGGGTAGGTACTGCAGCCCCTAGGGCAGTGCTGCTCTGAACGGAGGCACGGGCAGCCTACGTGTGGTGATGCCAGGAGGCTGGTGTGACCCTGCAGGCTCCGTCTACCCTGCCAGCCTGGCCTTGTGGCCCTCGAGTCCTGCTGCTGGCCTTATCTGCAGACTCAAAAAGACAGCAGAGACCCCTGTATGCTCTAGAGATGATGTCAACTCACCTTTTAAAGAATCAAGATGGGGAAGAATTTTCTAGAATGTTCTGTTTGCCCTTAGATTATTGTAACTCCTCAAAAAAGGACTCAAAAGACTGATCTGAACAGCCCATTCTGGGTGACGCCATGTCATTTGGTGAGATCGGCTGTGTTAGGAATCACACAGCAGGGAACTGGGGTGGGCACAGGCGCTTCAGCCCCCTGTGTTTTGTGGAGCGCAGTGGGAGCCCCTCCAGGCTGCTGGGCAGAGAGCTTCTGCAAAGCTGCGGAGAGGGGAGAGGTGACGGATTCATCTGGCTGGCTGAGTCCTCAGGTTCTCCAGTCTTGCCAGAGGTGCACGTTTCTCCTGGAGATATGAGATGGCCAGGGAGGAGCAGCGTGGAGGTTTTAACAGAATCTGGGAGAAAGGGGTTTTAGAGCAAGATACAGACTCAACCCCACAGCTCAGGTAGCTGCTGGGCACCCACCCAGTAACCAGCGCCCACATTCTGTTCCCCGGCACAGGTGTGGATGGAGGAGTGCGCGCTGTCCACGGTGCTGCAGGACCAGCTGAGGGACAACCGCCAGCGCACCTTGCAGGGCGTCCTGAGCAGGCTGGGCGGCCTCACTGAAGAGTGAGTCAGGCGGTCCTGGGGTCAGGGCTGGGTGTCCGCGGCTCTACCCTCTAGGGGTCCTCATCTCGCCTTCTTTGAATGTGGATGATGGTGGCTCTCAGCCCTTGTCCTGGGTCTCCTCCGCACAAAATGGGGCCAAGGACCCTACTTCTCAGGGTCATGTTTTGTAGGAATTCTTCTCAACAGCTTTTATGGGATGGGATTTACACATGTTACTTTAAGAGTTCAAATCAAAGATGTTTTAGTAAATCTCTCCGCATCCATCACCACAATTCGAATGAAGATTTCCATCTCCCCAAAGATGACCATTTACAACAAATTACAACTGATCAATTTTTATATCCACTTTTTACATTTTTGCTCTATTAGTGCAATATGATTTCTCCAATTTGCTGAAAAATGTTTTCTTATTTCTTCTGATGAAATTGGCTGATATGTTTTCCTAGTTGCCCGGCCTTTCCCAGGCACCCTGTCTGTGTTAGACCAAGACACAGGGGCAGGGCTGAGGCCTGGTAACCCGGAGGCTCCGAGCCAGGGAGGGGCAGGTGAGCAGAGTGCAGCTCCTTGTGCCTGGCTCCTCTGTGCTTTTGGTGATTCGGAGATTTCAGATGGCATCCTTGACCCGTCAGGATCTGCGGTACAGTCAGCCATTACCCCTTCCTGAGCAGTGCTCATGCACAACCCGCTAGTCCTCTCCGAAGGTCACTCTGCTGCCTGTGTGTTTTAGCTCTCTGCATTCCCGGTCCCACAGGGCATGGCTCTGTCGTTTAGAGTTATTCGCACCATCGCCCTTCCTGTGGCTCTTGAGTCTTTCCTCTTGCCGTTAAGTTTCCCTCTGGGATCATTTTTGCCTGAAGGCTCCTTTGAGTTCAGATCAACTCATAAAAAAATTCTCTAAGGTTTTTTTCTAAAAATGACTCACCTTCATCTGTAAGGGATACTTTCCGTGGGCACGCTGTCAGTCCTTGTGCACTACTGTTGCGACGTGCCTGAGACTGGGTAGTTTATAAACAGTAGAGATTGATTTCTCCTGATTCTGGAGCCTGAAAGTTCAAGACAAGCACCTGCAGCTTCCGTGCCTGGCGAGGGCTGCTCTCAGCTTCCAAGATGGCGCCTCTCTGTGTCTCCCATGGCAGAGGGGCGGGCATGAGTGGGGCGAGCTCTGATTCTGTTTTCATGAGGGCACTAACCCAGCCATGGGGTGGAGCCCAGGGCCCCCCTCCTCAGGCCAGCACCGTGGGACCCAGTTCCAACACTCAGATCATAGCATACATACAGTCTTACTTTGGTTATTTTTCAATATGTGTGTAGGAGCTCTGTGGCGCTCTGGATGCCGCGATTTGCCACTGGATCAGCTCTTCCCAGGGCTCACCCATCAGCTTTTGTGGCCCCCCTGCCATCCTCTGCCTGCGCTCCTCCAGGACTCCCGCTCCCTCCACTCAGTCACCCCTCCACACCACTCAGTGCTCCTCCCCCTCCTGTGGCACGGCCTCAGCGGGTGCTTTCTCCCGAGCTGTCTCCAGGTCACTTCCTCTTTGGCTGGGTCTTCTCTGCTCTGAGGCCTGTGGAGCTCTGAAGGTCAGCTGTTGTGCTGTGAGTTTAGAATGTCTCTGTTTCTCTACGTACTTTCTGATGATCTGCTGAGATTCTTCATCTTATCCATTTCTTGGCCATATGAATCATGATTATTGTCTTGCTTGCCTGATTATTCCAAAACCTGATATCTTGTGGTTATTTCTCCCGTTCCCATTTCATTCCTTTTATTTTTGGTTAATTTCTGTCTCTTTGCATGTCTGGTGATTTTCATTGACTGCTGGATGCTATTCATGACCAATTGTAGAGGGAACATAAGACTCTGAATAATGCCGTCTTCCAGAGAGGATTTATCTTTCTTCCAGCAGGAATTTCAGATAGTGGTGGATGAGCTCCACCCACTGGGGAGTTTAGCTGATTCAGTGCTAGGTCTTTGTGAGGGCCGTGTCCTTTCTAGGATGAGCCCCCGGCCCTGGCTGATGGCCCTGGTGATGGCCAGGCCTCCCTCTGCCATGCTGACTGCTGAAGCTCTCTCCAGCTCTTCAGCCTCTTCCAACACCATACATTATAAAACCAAATGTCGGGCCTCTTTGGTTGACCCAGGTTTCTTTCCTCTTGAGCCACTGGGGTGTGAACTCAGACACGGCTCACGGCTTCAGTGGGGGGGGGTGCTTCCACCCACTCCCACTTGGCGGGTGCCAAGTGGTACCTGGGGGCTTCTTGTGCGTCAACCCCGGCCCCCGCTGCTCTCCCCACAGGTCCACGCGGGGCATCCTGCAGGGGCACGAGCTGCTCCTGGGCTCTGCCCTCCGGAGGCTGGCCCTCCGCGGCAGCGCCGTCGCCACGCTGGCCCAGATGAGGCTGTCTGGGAAGAAGAGCCTCTTGCAGGAGCTGCGTGAGCAGCAGGCGCTGGAGCAGGGCTCCTCCCACTGTCGGGACGAGCATCAGTGGCAGCTGCTCCAGGCCTTGGTGAGCCCAGGGCCCCCCTGAGCACGCAGGAAGTACCCGGTCGCAGGCCAGCCATGTCCACCAACCTCGATCCTGCCGCCCCCGTCATTGGGGGTGCTGTGTGAACCTGCTGGGGCATCGTAACGAGGTCACAGCCACGGCCCACACGGCTGAGCTGGAGTCTGGGGGTCCTGGAGTGGCAGGGCCAGCTCCTCCTGGGGCTGCTGCCCTCCATTGTCACATGGCCGTCCCTCCATGCATGTCTGGGTCCTGACCTCCTCCCCACATGAGGGTACCAGGCTTATTGGATTAGGGCCACCCTAATGTCCCCTTTCTGTCTCCTTAAAAATCCTGTCTCCAAATCTGTCAAATCCCAGGGCCCTGAGGCTAGAACTTGAACATGTCGACTTGGGGAGGACACAGTTGAGCCCATGACAGTACCCTCCTGTCGGTGCTCTGTGGCACCATGCCCGGTGAGGATTGCACCAGGAGACCGAAGCCAAGTCCGAGGGGGAACGTCCAGTCAAGGGTGTGGGAGGGGGGCTTTGAAATGTCATGGAGGTTTCCACAGATCAAAAGGAAGAGAACGGGCAGGCAGCAGAGCCGGGTTTAAACCCAGCCGCTTGTCCAGCTCTCACGCCCCTGGCTCCTGAGCCCCAGGAGCAGCCAAGTTTCGAGCCACTGAGGCAGAGTTTCCCAGCGGCTGCAGCTTTGCAGCGCAGGGCAGCAGCTGGGCCTCGTTGCAGGAGACGCGTGTCCTGGAGGAGGCCGGCCGGCTGGAGGAGGAGGCGCAGCAGACGCGGCTGCAGCTCCAGCAGCAGCTGCTGACCGAGGCCCAGGAAGCCGGGCAGCTCCTGCAGCAGCACTTGGAGCGAGCCATCGGGCAGGCACTGCTGGGGCACGCACGGAATGCGGCCACCAAGAGCCGGGCCAAGGACAGGGATGACTTCAAGGTAGGTGCCAGGGGCAGGAGGGACTGGGTGGAAGGGCCGGACACCTGGGCTGGTCCTCACTGTGTCCTGCAGGGACCCTGCAGAGCTTGCAGCCGCCCAGCCTTGGTTCCACATCTGTAGGTGGGTTGCTCTCCCTCCAAGGGAGGTGAGGCTCCATCACACCGATGGCAGGTTTCTCCTGCCACCAGCCCCGTGCTGTCCTTCCGAGCAGTGCCACTGAGGTCATTGACTTGACGGTGGTTCCTCCTCTGCTGACAGTAATGGGAAGCCAGCGGTGGAGACCTGAGTCAGGAGCCCATCCGCCCAGCACCTTCTCCAGTGCTCCGCCTGCCCTTCCTGGCCAGGTCTCCCACAACCCTTGCACAGTAGGGTCATTCTCCCTCCCATTGCACAGATGGGAAAGCCGAGGCTCATGAGTCCTCCCCGGTAGAGGGTGACCGGGTGGAGGCCAGAGCCGAGACTCCCAAGGCTGAGGGGGGTTTGCAGACCTTTGAGCTCTGGGGCTTGTGGTGGGACATGGGGCACCTCAGCTCCTCTCTGAGAATCCTGCCACTTGGGCAAATGAGTTGCCCTGCTAATCCACGCCTGAGGTTGGCCCCACGTCCTGGTCCTTCAGAGACTGGGGCGGTGCCCGGCAGGTGACACTGGGAAGGTCACTCCCATTCCCTAAAATCCTCCTGCCCTACCTAGTGAGTGCTGCTGTGTGAACGAGGGCGGGGTGATCGGCAGGCGCATTTGGTCCTGGTGTCCAGAGTTCCGCTCGCCCCAGAGGATGGCGTGGTGCTGGGTTGCTAGAGGAGGTTGGCTGGCTCTCTGGGTGGACGGGCCATGTGGCAGGAAGGCAGGTGGGTGGTTGACCCAAGCAGAGACGGTGGGGGACTTCCTGCCTCCCAGAATCCAGAGAAGGCCACCAGCTGTCAGCCACAGGTCCTGCTGGGCCCCGATGTGGATGTGGAAGCCTGCGGGGCAGTGGCAGGTGGCAGGACGGGGAGGCCCACTCAGCCCTGCTCCCCACAGCCCGGGTTCCGCACCTGCAAGGTCAGGCGCCTTTCACAGACGGTGCTGGGGGGGAGCACAGAGCGCAGCCTGAGCAGACCGCTCAGTGCTAAGTGGGCGTCCTTTCTTGGCCGAAGCCCGGCCCTGCCCATACATGTCTGTGGATGTGGACGCTTGAGGCTAACTCCTGCCTGCTGCCCGTTATCTGAGGAAGAAAAGGACGGTGACTTGGTCAGTGCACGACCAGCACACTCCTGGGCAGGGCTCAGCACGTCCCTTCCTCTCTACTTTGGCCTGAGGGTGTCACTCAGAAGTGTCATAGCTGCGAATGACAGGTGCCCTGCAGTGGCTCAGGTGGGCAGAAGTCACACACCCAGGTACCTTCGTCCCTCGGCATCACACAGCACATACCCGGGGCTCATTCTATTAACACAGGGCTGGGCCAAGCTCACAGTCTGGGGCGCTAGCATCCTGGCTCAGGCTCTGGCCACGCCACACCCTGGCTGTGTGATCTCGTGGTGGGTGGCCGTGGTGGCAGTGCATTGTGGGGGAGGAACCCGAAAGAGGAAACCAGGGCCTGGGGAAGGAGCTGGGCTTGCTCCGTGAGTGCTGACCCTCTGGGAGGGCTAGCTCAGGCTCCCACACGGCCTCCCCAGTCCCTTGCAAGGACAGGTCCCCAGTGACCAAGGACCCCTTGGCCTCCCCTCCTGCGGTTCCACAGCTCAGTGTTGCCACTCTGGGACCACACTTACAGACCATGGGCCTTGGGGACAGACCATGGGCCTTGGGGACAGACCACAGCCAGACGACAGCACCGCATGATAAGAAATGTGGAGGGAGCGCTTCCAGCCAGCAGTGTCTGTGCTGGGACCTGGGACCCAGGTCTGGGCTCTTTCCAACCCATGCTTCTGGCCGTTGTTGTCACTGTCATCGTCATCCTCATTAGCGTCCCACATGACTGTTGCTGCTCCGGGTCTGCATTCCAGACAGGAGGAGGGAGGTGGCAAAGTCTCCCCATCAGGACTCTGCCTGTTCAGAGAGGCAAGGCCCCCAGCAGACTCTGCCTGACTTTGCGTCTTAGGACCAGAACGAGGCCATGGCGCCCGTATTAGGCCATCCTGACCTGGGACAGTAAGATTATTGACCAACCATGCGCTCTCCGCCTGCTCCCAGCCACTCCAGGTTGGGAGTGAGATGTCAGCCAGGCGGGGAGGCCAGGCCCCCACTGGGCACGGCGGCTGCACCTGTGACTTCCATACCGCTCCGTCCTTCTCTCCTGCCCACAGGGGACGCTGGTGGAGACGGTGGTGGAGAGCGTCTACGCCACCCGCGCTGGCATCGGCCCCCTGGTGCAGGCCTATTACCAGCAAGTCGGGAGGGTGATGCAGGACCAGGAAGAGAGGAAGCTACAGCTCCTGAAGACCTTGCAGGGTGCGCAGCCTGGCCCCGGGACCAAGGTGGCCCACGTGGGGGGACGCGCGTTCCAAGTTGGGGGGTTAATTTTGAAGTGTCTTTATGTATTTATTCACCCCTCTTCTTATACCCAAAATGCTTTTTTAAGGCAACGTAAAGAAACATACATGCCGTACAATAAGGTTTGTAAAGCAGAGAGTCGGCGGCGGGCAGGACCCCGAGGTGACAGGGCAAGGTCATCGTCTGGACGGGCTGGGGGGGCCTCCTTGGAGGTGAATGATTCTGTCTCTGGGTTCTTGGTGGCCAGAGATGGAGCCACTCAAAGGCACTGCCATGCCCAGGGGTGAGGAGAGGCCAGCAGCCACTGTGACGTTCCTGAGACCCTGAGACCCCCTCATAAAAGGCCACCAGGTGATGGAGCAGACAGTGTCCCCACTGCAGTGACAACAGATAATGACATGCAGAGGCAGCTTCTCAAGGGCCATCCTCACACCCTCCCTCCTGCCGGAGCTCAGGACAGGGCGGTGCTCCTAGGTCTCGGACACTCTGCCTTTGGGAGCTGCTCTCGGCTGCCCCGTCCTGGGGACTCAGGGGAACCTAGCCCACACCCAGAGACGGGCAGAGGCTCCAGATTCCCCGTCATGGCTCTCCAGAGACATCTGGGTTCCTTTAGCAGGAGACAGACGTGCCCATGAGCCACCGCAGAATGGGGGCACGGCCCCTCCCTTCCTGGCCTCGGCTCCCACTCTGTGGGAGGGGGCTGGGCTCGCCCCAGGCACCTCTGAGCTCTCCTGCCCTTCCCCGACCCCCGACCCTCACACAGTGAGCACTGGAGACCCTGGAAACCCCTCCCCATCCAGCCCACCCTTCATGGGAGCCACAGAAGGTGGCCCAAGCTCATCCCAGGTCAGCCTCTCTGTGCTCCCACGGCCTGGAGGGGGACCGGGAGGCAAAGCACCCATGTCCCCCCAGAACTACTGCTGGGCATTGGGCGACTTGGCCAGCAGGGCCTTGAAGCAGGTGCCCATGGCTCGAAGTGCAAACCTGCCCCTGCTGGGGTGGGGCGCTGGAATAACCCTGCTGGGGACGGGTGTGCACTGGGCTTCCCAGGGACCCAGGGCACCTCGCACTCCACCTGAAGTTTCCATCTTAACCTGCGTTTTCTGAGCATCTGAATCTGCAAACAGGAAAGGGCTGGGGGAAGGGCGCTGCTCCAGCTCCTGGGGGAGCCTCGGGCCCGCCCAGCACCCCGGCTCCCTGCTGGGTGCGTCCACCTGCCTGTTCCCCTGCCTGTGCTGTCCCCAGGGTCCTCGCACACGCCTGCCTGTCCCAGCGCTGGGGCGAGTGGCGCACTGTGGGTGCAGGTGTGTCCTGCTCGGCCTCGGGCGCGGCCAGCCCAGCCCGCAGAGCCTGTGCTCTCCCTGTGACGTGACCCGCCTCGTGTCTCCCATGGTCCAGGCCACAGAATGGACAGCTCCAAGCTGCGGAGGAAGCAAGAACTCGGGGACCCCGGGCCGGAGGACCAGATGGCAGGCGGCACTCAGGGAGCCTCCCAGGCTGTCCACCAGAGGTGAGGCTCACGGTGGGCAGTGGGTCCCCCACGCAGGGATGTCCTCTGCCCCCCACACCCAGTGTGGAAGCCCCTGAGCCTCTGCCCACACCCTGTTCCCAGAGGCACCCGCACTAGCGCCCAGCACAAGGCAGGGTGAGTCAGGGTGTGGCGGCCACCCTGTGTCCAGCTTCAGGTGGCACCTGCAGCCCTAACGGGGCTCCTCCACCCCTGCCCATGCTCTTGGCTCCCTCAGGAGCAGACCTCGGGGTGGGAGTGGGTGTCCACCTGGAGGGACCCAGGGAGCCAGAAGGGAGGCAAAGACAGGTGTGTCCCGTGACGGTGGCCGTTACCGTGGCCACAGACTCACCGGCGGAGGCCACTGCGTGTCCTCCCACGGTCTGTGGCTCAGGAGGCCGGCTCTCTGCTTCTCTGGGTCTCGCGAGGGGAGGCAGGGCGTCAGCCCGCGGGGCTCTCCCGGGAGGCCTGGTGGGTTCACTTCTGAGCTTGACGGGGTTGCTGTGGAACCGAGGTCCCATTTGCTGGCCTGCTGTCGCGTGGGCCACCCTCACCCCGCCAGGGCCTCTCTCTGGTCCTTGCTCTGGGCCCCGAGGCCGGCAACCAACCGCAGTGACAGCACCTGGGGTCACGCCTGGGGTCACGCCTGCGGGCCCTGCGCCTTCTTCCCACCTGGGAGAGGTTTCTCTGCCCTCAGGGGCTCAGCCGCTGTGGACAGGACCCACCCGGTCACCCAGGCTCATGCCGGGACCTTGCAGCCTGTGGCCCTGGTCACACCTGCGGCTCTCCCTTGCCATCTGCAAGGGCTCCGGGATCTGAGCGTGTTTAGGGACACGGCCTGGGATGTGGCCAGCTCTGGGGACGTCGTGTGGCCCAGCACAGTTGGAGCTGCAGAGAGCTGCGCAGACAGTGCTTTCCAGGGAGGCCACAGGACAAGGGTCTTTGTCCCTTCCCCAGGGCTGAGGGTCCGGCCTGGAGGGCTGACTCACCTGCCCGTCCACTGCCCCGGGTAGGCCCCACACAGCCCTGCGGCCAGAGAGAGCCCTGGGCCACAGGCAGGCGCTTGGCATAGGGTCCCTGGGCCTTGGGGAACTACGTGGCATCAGCAGCCTCCTGTGGGCTGTGGGGTGGAGGCAGCAGCAGTGCAGCCCCTGTAAGTGCCCGCTGTTTGCTTGGCCACTAGGTGGGTACAGGGCAGCTCCTGCCATCTGTCCAGGAGCTCTGAGCCTGGAGGGAGAGTAAAGAATCAGCGATCAATCAGTGGGGGTGCCGGGGGGCAGGGCTGGACCACAGGGGAGGATCCCTTGCCTTGTCCTGCCACCAAAGGTGGCAGAAAGACAACAGCCATGCAGTCGAGCCCAGGGAGCCCGTCACACAGCACAGTCCAGGCCAGCGGCACGTCGGCAGCCCGTGTAGATGACGAGCACTGCAGCACCTGGATCAAGCTGAGCCTGACACCCCCACTGTGAATTCTCCAACTGGTCATTAGCCGTGGTCAGCAAAGGCCCTGCTATGGCACTGCAAGGTCTGGGCTTGCCCTGACTCTCCACACCGTGCTCAGCAGTTCCCGGACTTGGGCACAGGAGCATCAGGGGGCTTTCCCACTAACCCTGCTGCACCTGGGACTCGGGGAGCTGGGGGGAGCCCGGGCATCTAGATTGTTCACACATGCTCACAGACACGCCCAGGGGCTCGGATGGCTGTGGCCCAAGGACTCCACTTTGACCCAGGTGACCTAATGGGGGGCCCTGGCCCAGCCTCACCTGGTGTAGGGAAGAGGAAAGTCAGGCCTGGTGTGTTGGGGTGAGCGCCTGGCGCAGCCTCTGCAGGGTGGGGAGGGCCGGCCTCCTTGTCAGGGGCTCCTGCCTTCCCCTCCCGCCCTCCCCACCCTAGGCCAGCTAGGGGGACGGCCAGTCTCCCATCTCCCCGTATCCCAACCCAGTGCCTCCCCGGCAGGCAGGAGAACAGGCAGGGGCCACAGGAGGTGGATGGGACAGATGGCGTGGCACAGAAGGACTGGGGCTGGCAGGGCAGTGGACAGACGGGGTGGACTTTACAGCAGACAAGTCATGAAGCCAGGTGGCACCGTGTGCCTTGGGGGCCCCCATGTGGGCAGCTGCCTGCCGATGCTGCAGGTGGCATCTGCCTTCAGTTCCAGAAACTCAGCCCTTTCCGAAAATCCAGCCTGGGAGATGAAGGGGGCGGGGGGGTAGTGGAGCCGGGGGTCTGAGTGATCCTGTGGGCCGAGGGGAGGCAGGAGTCTGCGCCCAAGAGGGAGGTGGCACTCAGGATCAGAGGGAGTCTCTGCCCCAGCTGTCCCCCTGCCTCTCGGGGTAAAGGGGCTGCCTTGTTCTGGATTTATCTTCTTCCGGAGGAAAAAGCCTCCTGTTTCACAGGGAGGGGCCAGGGCCGTTCTGAGCTTTAAAATCAGGATGCAGCCGGGACCCTGGGCCTTTGGGGAGAATGTAAGATGGTTTGCTCAGGAGAAGAGGCCACTCCCTGCCCAGCCCCATGGCAGCTGTGGGTCCACAGGCAAGCCCCGCCTCCCAGCCTCCCAGCCTCCCTGCCTCTCCTGGCTTTTCCTCTGTCCTGCTGATGTCCCCAAGCCACCCCGAGGATCGAGACAAAAGTGCCTGTGGAATCTTGTTGACTCCTTGGTGTTCGGGGCCTTGACAGTGTCCCCAGTGTGTGGCTGCTGGACACTGGGCCCATGCTCCTCTCGGGTACCCAGGCCCAGCGGTCACTAATCCCACGGCACGGTGGGCCCTTTGGGAAGGTTCATGTGGGGGCTCCGAGTGACTGTGGCCAGGGCAGCGCTGACCTTCTCGTCCCCCACCAGGCTGCTGTCGCAGCAGAGGCGGCTCCTGGCCCAGTTCACGGAGCACCAGCGGCTCCGCCTGGAGGCGCAGAGGCAGAAGGCCCGGGTCCTGGACCAACTGGAGGCCCAGCTGGAGACGCAGCTGCAGGTGAGGGTCTAGGAGCGGCCTCCGCAGGCAGGGCTTCAAGGGGAGCAGAGGTGGGGAAGGCAGAGGCCAGGTCATCCCGGGCCAGTGTGGGCCTCGGGGGGGGGTGGGCAGGTCCAGAGCCTTTGCCTCTGCACCTCGCTGTCTGCACGGTCACCTGTGGCCTCGGGCCAACTCCAGGCAGGCTGCCGAGAATCAGCGCTTCAGTGTGTGCGGATCCCCACCAGGCGACTGCTCGGAGTAGGATGGACGTCCGTCCTGCTGGCCGTGGGGGGCGACCGAGCCTGCTGTGCATCTGGAGCACTCAGGACTCACCCAGCACAGAGAGTCACGGCAGGGAAGGCTCCGTCCCGAGTGTGGCCAATGGCTGCTGCAGATGCCTGGCGTTCCCAAGTGGAAGCCACGGACAGTGTGGGCCCTGCCAGAGATCTCCCCACATTGGGCAGCGATTAGAGGGACAAGGACAGGTGTGCCCAGGTCTGTGTGGCGCTGGCGCCAGGCGCTCACTCTGGAGGCAGGCCACACTGCGAGGTCCTGTCCTGCTGCCACCACCTCCGTGCAGGTCACCATGCCTCTCACCCTGTGTCATCTGTAAACGGGCTCCACAGCGGAGCCAGAGAGGATGCCCAGTCGCCTGGCAGGAGGTGCCCACCCTGCATTCTGCCCTGCTTGGGCCTCTCTGGGGCACTTCAGGAGAGTGTCCTGAAGTGTCCCTGCTGGGGACGCGTCCACCAGCCTCCTGGACAGCGTCAGGCCCTGTTGGGGGAAGGGCTCGGGGAGGGGCCGCTGACTCTCCCCCACTTGCACATCAGGACGCGGAGCAGACCTTCATCTCGGAGCTGGCAGCCTTGGCCCGCGTGCCCCTGGCCGAGAACAAACCGCTCTCCAGTAAGCGCGGGCTGCCAGGTAAGTCGTGGCGTCCCCGCCGCAGGGGCAGAGCCTCTGCACTGAGACCGATGTCCACCTCCCGTCCACCGCTGACCAGCTCTGGGGCCTCGGGCCTCGGGCTCAGCCTCTCTGGGCTTCATGTCCGTGTCTGTAATGGGGCAGGCTCAGGGCACCTGGGGCCCGGCTCTCCAGCATTGGGCCATCCCAGCCCCTGGGTCTGCTGCCCTCCAGCTGTGTCCCTGACTCTGTTCCTACCTGTAAAGTGGGAAGATGTGTCCCCTCCCCTGCCAGTGAGGGAATCGGGGACGTCCCAGGTGGTGGTAGCCTGGTCGTGGGAGGGTCGCTCTGAAGGCAAGCACACAGACGTGCCAGCTGATCTCGGCACCCTAAGTCCCGAAGGCCCCTGGGTGCAGTAGAACACGGCCTGGCAGGACTGGTCAGGTCCCAGCTCTGCCACTTATCGGCTGTGTGGCTCCTGGGCCTCGGTTTCCTCGACCGTGGAGTGGGTACAATGCAGTGACGCAGCAGGGCCCGCCTGGCCACCGGGTGCTTGAGAACTGTCAGGCCTGGTTGGCCCAAGGCCGGAGGAGCTGTCCGAAGTCCCAGACCAGGGTCCTCTCTCTTCCGCAGAGAAGCCTCTACGGACCAAAAAGAAGAAGCCCCTGCCTCGGGAGAGAGGGGACCCAGGACTGCCCAGCGATGGTGACCCTGCCTCGGGGGACCACGCCCCAGGGCTCCTCAGGTACAGCAGGTCCCCATCTCTCACCTCTGCGCTGCCTCGCCACCCACTGTGCTCCCCGGCCACCCACTGTGCTCCCCGGCCACCCACTGTGCTCCCCGGCCACCCACTGTGCTCCCTCGCCACCCACTCACCACCCACTGTGCTCCCTGGCCACCCACTGTGCTCCCTCGCCACCCACTGTGCTCCCTGGCCACCCACTGTGCTCCCTCGCCACCCACTGTGCTCCCCGGCCACCCACTGTGCTCCCTCGCCACCCACTGTGCTCCCTCGCCACCCACTGTGCTCCCTCGCCACCCACTGTGTTCCCTCGCCACCCACTGTGCTCCCCGGCCACCCACTGTGCTCCCTGGCCACCCACTGTGCTCCCTCGCCACCCACTGTGCTCCCCGGCCACCCACTGTGCTCCCCGGCCACCCACTGTGCTCCCCCGCCACCCACTGTGCTCCCCGGCCACCCACTGTGCTCCCTCGCCACCCACTGTGCTCCCTCGCCACCCACTGTGCTCCCCGGCCACCCACTGTGCTCCCCCGCCACCCACTGTGCTCCCCGGCCACCCACTGTGCTCCCTCGCCACCCACTGTGTTCCCTGGCCACCACTGTGCTCCCCGGCCACCCACTGTGCTCCCCGGCCACCCACTGTGCTTCCTTGCCACCCACTGTGCTCCCCGGCCACCCACTGTGCTCCCTCGCCACCCACTGTGCTCCCTGGCCACCCACTGTGCTCCCTGGCCACCCACTGTGCTCCCTGGCCACCCACTGTGCTCCCTCACCACCCACTGTGCTTCCTTGCCACCCACTGTGCCTGGTGTCTGGGTGGGAGGCCGCCCCTTCTCCAAGGCCCTCAGAGGCCCAGCCCAAGAACAAGGGGTGTGAGCGTGATTGAGGGCAGGAGCCGGGGCCACTCGGTGGCAGCTGGCATCACTGCGGCTGCCGCTGTTGGCCCATCTGGCTAGGAGGGGACACTGCCTCCAGGCCCCGTTGGCATCCAGCCAGAGCCACGCACCCAGCCCTCCTCCTCCAGGGCCAGCACTGGCCGCCACCTGTGTGAGCTGCCGTCGGCTGGCAGCCCCAGGGTCGTGGGAACCAGCGCGTCCCTGTTGTGGCACCTGGGTGATCAGTCGCCCACCTGGAAGGGCACCCTGGGGCTCCACTTGCCACTTCACCACGCGTGTCACCATGGAGACCACCTTGGTCACTGTGCTGCCACCTCACTGAGTGGCATCACTGAGCCTGGTCTCAGGCAGGGCACTGACCGCTGGCCTCTTCCCACTTTCAGCAGCCAAAGGCCAGGTCAGCAAGAAGCCGAGGCTGGTGTCGGCGAGGACGGGAGGCAGGTGCTGAAGAGGAGCCATCTGTAGCTCAAGGCTGCTGGGCAGGCCTGTGCCTGGGCGTGCAGGGCCTGTCCCCGCCACAGCCTGGGGGACGTGGGGGCGGCTCTGAGAGAGGACGGAGGAGGGGGGGAACTGGCCAGACAGCCGCGCCTGAGATGGTTGGGAGCTCCTCCTAGGCGGTTTCGAGCCCGCTCAGCTCCCTGCCTGGGTGACTCCTCCTGAGGGTCATCCTTCCCTGGCCTCCTGTGCCCAGCTCTACCCGTGTCCTGAAGCTACCAGAACCTGCCTCCAACAAGCTGAGGTCACCTGGCACAGCCCCGGGCACTCTGCTCCCCAGCTTCTCCGCCCAGTGCTCCCAGGAGGGCCTCTCAGGCTAGCTGTATTTCCTGGATCCGAGGTCATTCCCTGGTCCCTCCATCCCCCTACACCCGCCAGGGGCTGCCCAGCATTCCCCCCAGGACCACGTCCTTGCTTGGTACTTTCTGTCCTTTGACTCAGCCAGCACCGAGAACCGGTCACCAAGACAGTGTCTGAATCCCGGGGCCAACAACCCAGGGCAGGCTGCTTCCTCAGCTCTTCCCTGCTGTGACTAAAAGACCCGATTAGAACAATTTTATGGGAGGAGAATTTATTTGGGGCTCACGGTTTCAGAGGCTCAGTCCGTAGACACTGGCTCCACCTTGGGCTGCAGGTGAGGGGGACGTCATGGGGAAGAGTGTGGTGGAGGGCAGCAGCTCACACGATGACCAGGAGGCAGAGAGAGACTCCGCTCTCCAGACACAAATACACACCCCAACGCCCCCCTCCAGCCGCACCCACCTGCCGTCAGTTAACACTCATCAATCCCCTCAGGTGAGTGATTCTCTGATTGGGTTCAGGCTCTCATAACCCACTCAGTTCTCCTCTGCACCTTCTTGCATTGTCTCACAGTGAGCTTTTGGGGACACCTCACCTCCAAATCATTACACAGACCATGGAATCCTGGTCCCCAGGCCTCTCCTGACCCATGTGGGCCCAATGTCACAGACACCTGTCAACCACAGCAGGGCCTCTTCTTCAGAGCCCAGGGAAGCGCACAAAATCTTCCTTGGGCTTCACAGGGGACGGGTGAGTTCTTCTCCCTGACACAGACCCCAAGGAGAAGTGTCCCTGAGAACATCCGGAGGCTCCCAGACCAGCCACACATACACCATGGAGGCACAGTGGACACTGGCGAGGTCACCCCTTGTTTGGGGTTGAAAGCTGCTGGTAGAAAAATGGGTCACGGATTTCAGACCCAAATCAAAGCACAGCCGGGGGCCATGGGTCAGGAGCTCTTGCTGGCCCATCAGAGGAGAGCTGTCCCTCACAAGGCTATGCAGCAGGGAGCCCCAGGCCAATGGTGCTGCCGACCACAGCCCAGCTCTGGGCACCTCCAGGAACTTGGTTCTCATGGTGCCCGGGCCCCACCTGCTCTTCACAGCTCCCCCAGACCTCGACCTCCCTGGATGCCTCTGTGACCGTCCTAACAGGTGTGCCCAGGTCACAGTGCCCTGCAGTCCTGAGTAAACCCATGGATGTGGAGAGCAGCTCTGCTGTGTCACTCTGGGCTGATGGGCAGGTGCTATCCTGTGCATGGTGGGGCGTTTAGCAGCACCCCTGGACTTGACCCATGAGACCACAGGACCAACCCCAGGATGTCTCCAGCACTGCCCAGGGTCCCCAGGGTCGTCATCCACGGGCTAAGGAAATGGGTGCCTGTCCTGGCCAAGCCCAGGACGTGACAGCTGTGTTTCCACAAACTTCTAGAACATGATGGGCTCTGGTTTGGGGATTGGGTGGCTCAGGGACCCTGACTGGGGGATTTTCTGGGCTATGAGTTTTGCTTTCTCAAAACCTAAGTTAGACTCTGCTGGTGCAGGTGCGGCTCCTTCCTGGAAGCGGCTGCGCAGTCCTGTTAACTAACCTGGAGGTGGGGACCCTTGAGCCCTGGACGCGGGTGGGATTTCTAAAGTTACCCAACAGTGCCCTCTGGTGGCCTGAGGAGACGCTGCGTCGGTCTGCAGGGTCCTGTAGGCTGCTTGGCTTCCTTTGTGCCGCGTTCTCAGGGCACAGTTTGCACAGACATCACTTCTGCGTTGTCTGTCACAAGGGTCCTTGCACAGAGGTGCCCTAAGGCAGATGGTGCCTGTGTCCTGGATGCCCAGTTTGGTGGCATGTGTGCCCAGTGCAGACCCCACCCCCACCCCGCAGCAGCAGGACTGGCCAATTAACCCGAGATTAGGTCTCAGAAAAATCACAGGCCAACTGTAAGTGCCGATTTAAGGACCACAGGCCCAGCCACACCTTCCCAGCTGAGGAGGCTCCCGGCTGCTCCCCAGCCCACCCTGCAGGTGGCCTTCATGGCTGCCGGGGTCAGCAGATCCTGGATGTGTTCTCAAGTGTGGCTTCCTCAGCCCAAGGGGACGTGTCCTGCCCCACCCTACTGCCCACCTGTCCTGCTTGGCACAGCTTTGGCCATGTGACTCCACAGACTTGGGGACACCCTGAGGTGAGGGGCTGGAGGGGTGGGCTGAGACAGGCAGAGGAGGACGGGCAAGGAAGCCCCAGGATGCCCTCCACCGCCCTGGCCCCGCCGTGGTGGCCTCCGGTTCTCAGTATGGGATGCAGGTTGCTATGGTGGTGGATGGAGGTGGAGCTGGCAGGGGACGAGGGTGATAGTGTCAGGGGCTGGTCACCTTCTCTGACGGTGGTGTCCTAGGACCTGAGCTGGGGACTCAGGATGCGGCCAGTGGGGTTCCCCTCCACAGACTCCTCTGGCCTGCGTGGTGCCAGAGCTGATACTGATTCCTCCTGAAACCAGGGCCAGGAGGGGCCGGCAGCCACTGCTCCAGAAGTCTCCCAGCACGGGAGAAGCTCTGGGTGAAGGACCTTCTAAACGCACGTGGCACGGCCCACGCCTTCCCTGGGAAGAGAACGTGGAGGGTCTCTGTGCTTTTGTGGGGATAGTAGCTCTGCTCAGCTGTGACATCTGGCAAAAGGCTGAGCAGCAGCCTTTTGTCCACACTGTGACCGAGGTGGCCCGACGGCCTCAGGGGTGAGCAGCGAGCTGGGCGGCACGGGAACCCGGGACAACCCGGGCGCACGCAGTGGGGCACACCAAGGAGGCCGGTTTGCCTCTTCAGACTCGATATTCGGTCTGGGGGTGAGGAGATGCATAAACCAACACAGGAGGGCCGGAAGTGGCCCTCCTGGGACAGCAGAGCTGACTCAAGTGTTAAGGACTCCCAGCTGGTGGGCCTCATGTGGTGACACGGCTGTGGGGAGATTGACGCCGTGGAAATCGGCAAACACCAGGCCAGGGCCCTCCAGCCCCACCCGCAGCCACATCTGTTTTCCTGCACGTCCCTGACCACCAGGTCACAGAAGGTCCATGTGGACTGAGACATGTATTTATCATTGTGATGGACGAGAGAGTCATTGCCACTGACTGGGGAAACGTGGGGTGCCCAGTAACACTGTGAGCTGTCACATGTCACGGGAAAAAACGACCCTGGGGACCCGCCCCTCAGTACACAGGAGCATCCTCCAGGCGGGGCTCATAGGCCTCAAAGTGAAAGATAAAAGAAACTTAGAGGACGACCCGGTGGGCAGCTTCATGCCCGCCCCTCTAGCACCCAGGGGCCAGGGCCCTGCTCCCTGGAGCCTGTGAGGCGCTGGCTGTGGGGAGGGAACCAGTGGCCGCTCCTGCAGCTTCCTGAGAAACTCAGGCCCCAAGACCAAGGAGACACAAGAAAACCACGTGCCTTGAAAGCCCTGCTCCAGCTCAGCCCCCAAGAGCTGCCATGCCTTGCCCGACCCCGTCCCCTGTCCCCTGCAGCGGGGCCCCTTGGAGAGGCAGGTGGTGGGCTCCAGGACCAGAGGGTCAGGAAGAGGCCCCGTCAGTCTGTCTAGGGAACAGGATGTCAGGACAGATCCTGCTTCTGCTTCTCCCCCCGTGGGACTCAGGCCGTGAGGCCACAGGCAGGTGCACACCACTGCCACCAGCTGCACTCTCTGGAAGCTTCCTGTGCAGCCCTTGGACAGTCCAACTGGGTCAAGACCGAACACCCGTACTGCCTACGTCCATTCTTGACCTCTCTGAGCCTTTAGCTTTGTCTCAAGAATCTGCAATGGACCCGCGTCAGCACCTCTCTGGACCTCACCAAGGTATCCTCACCAAGTTGAGGGGCGGGGAGGGCAGGGCGACCCAAAGCCCTGGCCTCCAGGGACAGTCAGGCTCGGGAGTTAGGGGCAGGAGCCTGGGCTCTGACACTGCGATCTTGGAGAAGCCATTGAGGTCCGACTTGGACCTCAATGAAGAAGAAGCCATTGAGGTCCACTATAAATGGGGTGCTATGGTTTGGTACAGTTTGGGTGTCCCCAACGCTTCAGGTGTTGCCATGTATGCCCACTGTGAGGCACAGAGAGGGCGGAGACCGTCCCACCATGGAGTGCAGAGCCATGGCCATCAGGAGGTGATGAGATAGGAGAAGGGCATGGACTCATGTGAGCTTTATAGGAAGAAGGCAAGAGACCAGCAAAGCGTGTATGTCCTTCCGGTCCCTGGCCACGTGATGCCCTGCACCACCTTGGGCCAGCCAGTAGGAAGGCCATCGCCAGAGGAGGCCCGTCAGCCTAGCACGCCCCACTCGACTCAGGAAAGAACTCCTAAAGCTGACTGTCGGAGACATCCCATTACAGTAATTAGAACAGACTCATTCACGAAAGTCACAGTCACACTGCACACAGCCCGACTTGGAGCAAGCGCAGACAGCTGCAGCCTGCGTCCTCATCATCATCATCCTGTACTTACAGCAAGCACCTTTGCCAAGTTTTTACTCCTCCTTAGAACGTGTGTGTGTGTGTGTGTGTGTGTGTGTGTGTGTGTGTGCGTATTTCCTGGGAATGGAGGGAAGAGCCCAGCCACTGGCCATATCCCAAATCTTCCCATCCAGGGCTCCCTGTCTAGACCGAAGCCTTCGGAGACAGCTCTCCTCCCTCCCTGCCTCCCCCAGTATCCTGAGCATCATCCACCACTCAGTTATCCCAGGGCTGCGGGACCCCAGCGCTTCACCCCACCCAAGCGAACACGCCAGCCAGGTCGGTGGGTGGTTTATTTTATTTTTTCACAAGCTTTGAATTCAGAAATAAGAGCCACGATTAGTCAGTTATTAAGTAAAAATGGGGGTGATTGATTACAAAGGAAAACTGTACAAAACTTTAAAAATCTGACTGCCCCGTCGACCTCCTGGAGGGACCAGGTCGCAGGCAACCCAGGGGCAGCCTTCAGCACACCGTCACTGGCCCCGTGGGGACGCAGACCCCTGTGAACCTGGCTGGGTCTCAAGCCCAGAGCTGGCTGAAGAACACACGGACTGGAAGGGCATCGTGGTGAGTCACAAGCGCCACAGAGACCGGCTGACGCAGGACGGGGAGGGTGTTTCTTGTGACCAAGGGGAAGGCTTCCCTGCCGTTCTGAGAGCCACAAACCTCGACGGGGTGGGCTGGGGTGGACGGGCTTCTCTCTGGTGGGCTCGGGCGGGGGCAGTGAGGACACAGCTTCATCTTAGGAGTCCGGGAACTGCCCCGAGGGCTGCGGTCCACATCAGTCCCTGGCGGTGTTCCCGTGGACACTCTCACGGGCTCGGGTGCAGAACGCAGCAACATGCACAGACTATCCTAGAACTGCTACAAGGGCGCAAAGGAACCACCGCTCAGGGCATCGCAGAGCCGTCGGAAGTGGAGGGGACAGGACAAGAGGACGCCACACCTGTGGTTCACTAGGGAGGGGATGAAAACACCATGCTGAGGTGACTCGGAGGGACGCGCAAACACACCACACTAGTACCACTTCTTCCTAAATAAAAAAGGGAAGAACATCATTCGGTTTCCCCCGTATCAGCACCAACTAAAACCGTGGGCTCCAGAAACATGGACAGGGAGAGGATGGGCATGATTCCAGAATCCTTCACTCGCAGTCTGCTCGTCCACGTCAGCCCAGGCTGGTGATGTTGGAGCGGCCGCCAGGGGGCGCCACGATGCGATGGCCGGTACGCCTGGGGTTGTTGTCATCTATCTGGGCACCTACAAGAGACAGAGCCATCACTTCTGGACGAGATCTGCTAACCTCAGCTCAACTTGCTGATTCTGAAGGCTGAGTGTTCTGCACTGTCCCCGCCTGGTGCACACTGTGTTCTGTCTTAAAATGTCCAGGTCACCTCTGGGCAGCCTCCCGGGCCCCCAGAGCAGACCACTCTCTCCTCTCCCCTCTCAGTCCCTGGGTCACCCTCCTACAGCCCTGTCCACCTTGTGCATTTTCTTTTCTGGCTTCCCCAGGAGAATTTGACATTCTTGAAACAGGTGAGCACCCACTTTTTGAGTGCCTACTGCGTGCAGGCACAGGCTCAGTGCTTTAGCAAATATTACTGTGTTTGGAACACATGACAATACAGTGAGGGTGTGTTTTGTCCCCCTGTAGAGGAGGAATCGAGGCTCAAGGTGCGCACCTTGAGGCATAGCTAGCGGCAGGGAAGCCAGGATTCAAGGCCTAGCTGGTCTGTCTCCAAAGTCCCCACTCCTCTGCATGGTATCCCCTGCTCCTAAAGTACTCCATGGATGGCGTGGGTGGGGGGTGGCTACATAAGCGTGCATGGGTGTGTGCAGGAGCACATTCATCATCCAGAGCTGGTTTACCCCTTCATTTGTAATGGGCAAATCTGCACGTGGGAGCAGTATTTTGTTTTAAATCTTCAAAGCCAACTTCTAATATTACGCATTCTCTTTCAGTCAAACACAGATTTAAAACTCCAGCAGCAAGCCCCATTCCTGGCACTCAATAAATATTCACTGAAAGAGAACAGTGAGCAATGTGTAGGCTGAAATGTGGGTGCTGTGACGCAGGCCTGAGGTCCAGTTGGAGACTCAAGTTTTAATACAGATGATGCTTTGATCTTGGGTAATTTGAAATAAGTCATCCCCCTCACCCCTTGGCCTCATTTCCTTTTCTGAAAAACAAGATCATCAGTCCAGTTGAGGCCCCTCCTGTGACACTATATGGCCTCTCTATGTAAGCCCTAGGAGCCAGGCTTAGAGTACTGATTTTATTTTCTCCCATGGTTCCACTGGTGGACGCTTGTCTTCCTGGTAATTCACGAATCTGCTCAAGGGTCAGGAATCAGGAGTCAGTCAGTCGGCACGTAATACACCTTTCCTCCTCATGACCATCTGTGCCTCGCTGGTTACACGTCTGGGATCTGACAGTACTCACTGGACAAAGGACACTGACAAACCATGCTACGTCTGCATAACAAGATGCTCTGCCGAGATGAGAGGCCCTCTGTGAAGCGGCTCCTGGTGCTAAAACATCTAGGCACTTGTTTCCAAATGATGTCACTCATCAAGCTGCCGTGAGGCTGGCCGAGGGCAGTGCTGGGGCTTCAAAGAGGACCGAGAGCACAGCAGGGAAGGGAGGGTGTGGTGGGGCCCTTCCTACAGCCTTCTAATTTCTTTGCTATCCTTATCTAAAAGGAATTCCCTACGCCTGTAGTGGTCCAATGTCTAATTTCCTCCCTTGAGAACAGAGGTCCAGTCTGCCAGGTCCTTGAGAGGTGTGTTGTCCTCAGTGGCTCTTCCCAGCATCAAAACAGTCCCTGCACTGTGGACTGAGCATCCAGTGAGACACTGGAGAGGCATCAGGGTCCACTCTGTACATCAGTGACTATCTGTAAACACTGGAACTCATGTGTAGGCAGCTCTTCCGTAAGAGGCTCGTGGAGAGGGAGGTGGCCTTGGGGCCCCGACTGCGTCATCAAGGAGACCTACTCTGGGCAGGGAGGCTCTGCCCCCACAGTTTAAACTGATAATTCATCGTCTCCCTCCGTCCTTCCACTGTTGCCAAGCTGGTCCCCTTTCCAGTCGGGAGTCGCACACTATGCCTCGTGAGCCCCATTCAGCCCATTCGTCACCTTGGTTGTTTGGGGAGGAACCCAGGGCTCTGCACATACTAGGCAAGCGCTCTACCATTAAGCTACGGCCCAACCCCTTTTTATGTTATGTGAGACAGGTCTCATGATTACAGGGATGTGCCACCACGCCCGGCCCACTGCCTGTGTTTATAGGGCTCATGAGCATTTTTACATCTTTAAAAAATGGTTGCAGTTTTAGTAGCTATTTAATACAACCACTGGAGTTTTGCCTGTGACTCACAAAGTCGCAAATATTTCCTATCTAGCCCTTTAACAGAAGTGTGCTAACTCCAGAGCTGAATTATGGCTGTCCATGTATCACCACCCTGCTTCCTGGCACCCGCACAGCGGGCGCTGACACCTCCCAGTCCGTGGACAGTTCCCATCCATGGCTCCCAGCGTGCACGTGGGCGCCCTCATGTGGCCGGCTGATGAAACAGCAGGCACATGCCCCAGCGCCTTAAGGAAAAACCGCCCGAGTCTTGATTTTGAAGCACTGAATTCTGGGATCTTGACATCAAATTTTCTGGGGCCTCAGTTTCTTCTCTAAATAGGAAAAAGATCATGCACCACACAGGCGATTGTGGGGATAAAATAAAACCACAGAAGATGGCACTGCTTCCTCACCGCGGCGGACTGCCCAGCTCGGCCCTGCACCCACATTTCACTCACCAGGCACAGTGCACAGACCCCAAGGGTGCTTGAGCACGGAGCCAGTTTTGGAGCAAATGCTCATAAACAAGGTCAGAAACAACCTGCTGCCCCCCAAGGACCTCCCTGCCCACGCTGCCTGCCCAGGACAGGGGAAGGGTGCCCCTGCCCCTGCGCTGCTCGCCTGAGGAGCAGGAAGGTCCCGGTGACCGGGGGGACCCGCGCCTACCTGACAAGCTGAAGTTGGACTGGTGGAGGTTCCTGATGGGCGGCGGCTGGTGTTTGGAAGGCGAGGATTTGGCAGAAGGAGCCGGAGTGGCATATTTGGGTGTAGCTGGCACCTCGTACACGGGACCGTCGTACATGCCCCTGGAGACCCCTTGCAGGGCAGAAACCTAGACAGAGGGAGCAGGTGACCCCCATGGTGAGCACATGCCCTCCTGTGCCCCCTGCTCAGACTGGGCTGTGCCCTGCCGCAGGACAGGAACCTGAGGTCCCAGGCCTCATGTACACATGTGCACACACTCACCTGAGCCCCACTGGCCACACACACACCACACTAATGCACACACATAAGACAAGCACCCGCATGCTCCTGGACACGGGGATGCTCCCGGGGATGCGAACAGGCACTTGCTGGCTCTGCCTCGCTGCTTCCCCAGGCCTCACATTCCCACCTGATGGCAGCATCTGTGCAATGTGGTGTCTCTGACCTGGCACGGCCCCTCGTGGGAGACGCAGGGGGCCAGCAGGTGGATGGGGAGCAGCCCTGGGTGCTGGGGTTCTGGGAGGAGGGGTCCGGACTGTTCCGTGGAGCAGCAGTGGCGAAGCCACTGGTGATGCCATTGATGAAGACCAGGGAGGGGGGAGCCCGCACACCCCCAGCACACTATGCACCATGCACGCACACACACACATGTTCATACGCACAGACACACACAACTGGCCCTCCTGGTGCACAGCCTTTGCTGGCTGCTGTGGGAAGCAGGTTGCCATGGTGATGGGATGTGTGGCGGGGAAACCACCACAGAGGGTCCACCTGGCTGTGAGTTTCCCCTCTGGGCCGCACAGAGGTGGGGACAGAGCCCACTGGGTGCCTGTGCCAGGACCTCCCAAAGTCAGGGCTGAGTCTTCAGGACGGAGGGAAAGGCAGACGCAAAACCTGCCAGGAAGGGGCGGAGGAGCCAGACCCGGAGGACACGGGGCTATTTATGCCCAGCAGATGGCCTGGCCTGAGCGCTGCCCAACTGTGTGCCTGGTGAGTCCTGCACGGCTCTGGGCCTCAGGGTTCTGGTCTGAGAACTGAAGCTCCCGATACCTCCATCAGGGGCGAGAGTCCCCAGAGGACGCAGGTCGGAGCCCAGAGCAGCTCAGGAGTGTCCCTCCACAGCCCTCCCGTGCCCACAGTGCACACCTCTTTACAGTTTGCACGGCCTCATCTGGACCTCACTGCTGTCCTGAGACAAGAACCCGCCTGGATGAAGACAGGGGGGCACACGTCTGTGAGCTCGCTCAACTCCCCAAGAAAGTGTGTCGCTCTGACCCAATGCTGAGTCCCCCAGACCCGCTCACCTTGTTCCTGATCTTGACGCGCTGGTAGAGGTACTCGGGGAAGGGCTTCCGCGGGATGAAGCGGCCCACGCCCTTGTTGACGTTGATGTTTCCGTCTTCGAAGACGATCTTGCCCTGGCTGATGACCACCAGCGGCGAGCCGTGGCACTCCATGCCCTCGAAGATGTTGTACTCCACGGCCTGCGAGCCAAGAGCACAGCTGTACCCACCGTGGCTCCAAGGGTTTTCTCCACGGGAACCCGTCACGGAACAGCCAGGTTGCCTAACCTTAGGTCCCAAGCATTTCCTGGGGTCCTCCCACTCCCAAAACACCCCTGTCAGGGCTGGGCACTGTTCCACCCAGTCACACAGCATGTGTGACCCGCACCTTGTCCCGGGGCACCGAGCCTGCTGGTGGCCTTGTGTCATATTGTCCTGGGGCTTGGTGACTGAGACTGGTGTCCTGGGAGTTGGCCCCGGGCAGCTCCACCTATAGTGGGTGTTCTGTGTCCTTTTTTAAATTACTTTTTTAGGATCGCTTTCTAAAATTTAATTTACTAGATCAAAGGACACAGGTTGCATATCACCAAACCATTTTCCAAAGGGGTCAGACCAAGTGACACCACCAGGGCCCTGGGGAGGAGGCAGCTCATGTCACCCCGGAGCGGGGTGACGTCGTGCTGTTGTTATTAGGTAGAAACGCCCCTTGCTCTCCCTCCTCCTGAAGGGAGCCTGGACCCTGCTGGCCACCACCTCCAGCCGGCTGCTGTCCAGCGTTATTTTAAGTAGGTCATGTGTGTGGTTGAAAAAAAAGAATCAAATAGGGCAAAGGAAATTCACTGCAGCGTCTCTCTGGCGCTGCTCAGAGGCCAACACCTTGGGGAGCTTCTTGGTCCCCAGGCGCCTCTATTCATGAACCCCTGCCTCACGCAGGTGCTCCACGATTTTTCAGGTGCGCCTTGATTTTTCTCCTGAGCCCAGAGACCGTCCCACATGTGCACACACGTGATCTGAAGCGCTCCTCCTGTGCTGTGAACCGCCACACCGTGTCCCACGGACACACCCAGGTTCCACGGAGGGACAGCGACATTTCTGTTTCTGCTAAAGCAACAGTGAAGTACACTCGCTGTACGTGCCCCACCCACGGCGTGCCTGTCTCCAGATGTGGAGCCCGGGGCCAAGGAACGTGGGTCTGCGCCCCTGGTGGATCTGCCTTCCAAGAACAGCAGCACTGGGTCCCTTCCCCACCAGCACGCGGCCAGCACCCAGCCAGCTCACCGGTTCCCAGTTCAACCACTTTGGTATCCTGGGTCAGGGTCCCTTGACATCCTAGTGCTGTAGGCAGGTGAGATCAGGCCTTTCTAAAGATCAGACACCATTTCTACATCCCTCACGGGGCCACTTCTAACAGTCTTTTAACACTGCTCTGATGACCAGGGTCTTGGTATTTTTCCTCATTTCTAAGTACACATTAGATGGTAAAGAGTCTCTCCTGCATTATGTGTGGGGCACTAGCTACTGTCTTTTTTTTTGGGTGGGGGAGTGGGGTACCGGGGATTGAACTCAGGGACACTAGACCACCGAGCCACATTCCCAGCCCTATTTTGTACTTTATTTAGAAACAGGGTCTGAGTTGCTTAGTGCCTCACCTTGCTGAGGCTGGCTTTGAACTCGCGATCCTCCTGTCTCAGCCTCCTGAGCCTCTGGGATTACAGGTGTGTGCCACGGGCCTGTCTTGCCCACTATCTTTGGTTCTCATATAAAGCAAACTTTTTTGGCCATATAGAAGGTTATTGATTTGGGGCCATATAGAAGGTTCATTTTTATGTTGTCAGTGGTCAAAAAGACCAACGTATTCCTTTATCATTTCTAAGTCTCATGTCTGATTTCTTCTTCAAAATTATCATTTTTAAAAGGGATGCTTTCTTTTTGTTCCTTTCAGTTTTACTTCAATCTTTGATGACTTTGGAGGTTTTTTTGTTTTTATTTTATTTTTTGTGTGTGATAATGAGTGGGGCAGAGGTCAAACCTTCTGAGCTGCTATTCTAACAGAATTGGCTGATAAGTATTTTCTCCTAACTAATTTTAAGTGCCTCCTTCATTGGAAACCAATTTCTCATCTGTGGTCGGTCTACTTCTTGGCTCTCTCTCCTTTCACACAATTCCATGCTGTTGGGATCACTGTGGCTTTGTAATATGTTTTTATATCTGAGATGACTGACAGCCCTACATCAACATTCCCTTTGTCCAGAAATACTTTGATTATTCTAACGTCTACCATCAAGAAAAAATAACCCGTTGAGATTTATGATGGGATTACTTTAATTTACAGGCTACATTAGAAAGAACTGCCAAGCCCACTATATTGAAGCTTCTTAGTGTACAAGTCCTTGCATTTACGCAAGTCTTATAACAGTTTTTTTTAATAACGGACCACCTGATGGTAAACATTTTTTTAATATTCATTTTTTGGGTTTAGGTGGACACAGTATCTTTATTTTTCTGTGGTGCTGAGGATGGAACCCAGTGCCTCATGCATGCTACAAGTGCTCCACCACTGAGCCCCAGCCCCAGCCCCTAAAGCCGTTTTTCTAAGAGCAATTTTACTTCTATCGGAAGCAGGAATTTCATTTCCATTCTATTTTCCAAGGTGGCTTTCAATTATTTCTAAGGAAAGCTATCGATTCTTCATATTGACTTATCATCAGCTGACAGACTCTCCCATAGATCTGAGGACTGTGGGGGCTCACAGGGGGTTCCAGGCCACAGTGGCCCCTCCACAGGGCTGGGAACGCGCGAGGCATTCTGGGATGACCACTGCCCCCAGAGACAGGCACCCCTAGCTTTGCATTCAGGCTGCTCCTCCAACTCTTCCCGGCTCCCACAGCGCCCCTGCCGTCACACAAGAAGCTGGCCACTCTCCCACCGGCTGACAGTGGCCACCTACACCTGCATCCAGAGGGGTCCGCTGCTCCCACTCAGTCCAAGGAAATGACCCACCATGGCGGTGTTCAGGCAGGGATTCTATACTTTGGGACTGCACAGAATTCCGCCTGCTGTCACTTCCTAGCTTAAGGTAGTCTGTGAACAAGTTTAAGAATTCGCATAGTACTAAGGACCATGACAAAAGGTTTGCCTGCCCATCCGAGAGCCCCAGTTCCCCAGAGCCCTCCTATGGGTGCTGTTGTGAGGGGTCTTCTACTTCCCTTCACAAGCACCGTCTGCTGATGGACACTTGGACAGAATGTGGAGCGGCCGGGAGCCAAGAGGATTCACCTTAAATTCGCCTTGGCTTACATGAGCCCCTAAACATGCCAAGCAAGAGCAGCCGGTCCCAACGGGTCACATGGGCACGATTTCATTTATGAAGTGTCCAGAATAAGAAAATCCACACAGAAAAAGTAGGTTAGTGGTCGCCGGGGGCTGGGAGAAGGCAGAACGGGGAGCCACCATTAATGGGCACAGGGTTTCTTTGGGAGCAAAGAAAACATTCTGGAATTAATTATGACTGCAGAACCTTCTGCAAACAGTAAACCCACTGCACCGGATGCTGTATCTCCAGTGTCAAGGTCTTGAGACCCACACTCTATGGGCACCCAGACGTGCATGTGACCCTGTGACGTGCACTTGGAAGCAACCACATTTTGTACCAAGGTGTAAATAATAGAAGTTATAGTCTTTTTACAGGAAAGATTTTAAAAAGTTAATCACTGTGGTGTGTAAAAAGTGGTCTCTTTTTAGTTGGTAAGAGTAACATGTTTTTTCAAACCTAAAAATAAAGCTAGGCTCTAGCCCGGCCCTTCTCAGCCCACGTTCTGAGCAGCACGCCCTTGCTGCAGTGCCTGAGTGTCCTTGCCTCAGAGAAGGGACATACAAAACCCTCGGCCAAACTGCCCTGGAATCCCGAACTGTCCTGCTGTGAGGGAACTCAGGACGGGCCTGGCACGGGGAGGAGACGGGTTCCGGAGTTTACCTGCTCTGGACCACACTTCCCAGGTGAGGAGTCCCAGGCATGGGACTTACTGCTGCGGGTTGGACAGGGAGGTAACCTCATTGGAAACGGGGTCGCCGGGGACGTGACTGGTTGAGAGGTCACCCTGGAGCAGGGTGGGCCCTGAATCCAATGGCTGGTGCCCATGTAAGGAGAAGCCTTGTGGGGACAGAGGCTGAAGGTGGAGTAAGGACACACCCCCATGCCCAGGAACATGGAGGACAGCTAGGGACACCAGACGCTCAGGGCAGGGAAGGGTCCTCCCCAGGGCCTCGGAGGAGCATAGCCCTGCCAACAGCTTGATGCTGCACCTCTGGTCTCCAGAACAGAGAGAAGACATTTCTGTCGAGTAAGCCACCCCGTTGTGGCACTTACTAGGACAGCCACAGGAAGCCAACGCACTTCCCCTGGCTGTCCCTCTTCTTACTTATGAGTGACACACACCTCACCTAGAAGGCGGCTGTGAGGACAATGAGACGATGCATGGAAAGCACAGGGCACAGACTAACGGCAAAGTCACACTGGCTGGGTCACGACCACCCTGGCACCCGGCCACTGACTGGCATGACCTCACGAGAACCCAAGGCCTTCCTGAGCTGCCGGGTGTGCTCCCGACAGTCCTCACCACGACCTTGGGGAGGCGACATCCTCTCAGGATTAGGATCACCCTGAGCAGGAAGTGGCAGCTCCAGCAGTCAGGAGGAGGTAGGGGTGGAGGGTGCACGCTCTTGCCTGTGAGACCTTCTGGAACATTCTCCCACGGCCACTACAGTGTGCACAGCCTAATAAATGAAGGTACATCTGCATGCCCTGCAGGGCCGTGGGTGTACAGAGCAGCGTGCACTTCTCCCAGCAAGACGACCTCAGCCTTATTTCCTCCTGGCTCTGATCCGGGGAGCTGGAGGGGGAGCCCAGGCGTATATCAGGGGGCACTGCTTATCTTGAGAATGACCCTGCGTTGGTGAGCTGGACAAGACCACGATCAGCTACCCAAACCTCTGCTTTACACGCGATGCCTCTAGCAGCTGAGCAGGGACCACGCCACGAGCTGCTGCAAGTGGTTCCTGTGGCCTCCTTAGGAGACTTGCCCCCATGCACCTGGCCTCATCCCTCGCCAGGGAGTCACCCGGGGGCAGGGAGGATCCCACAGCAGACCAACACTGTGCCCAGCTCTGCTAACGGCTTGTGCCTCTAATAGACTGCAGTGTGCCTCTGAGTGTGCCTTTGGACTGGAGACCACAGAGGGTGACTCAGACTGGGTGCTGGAGGCAGCACCCTACTCCACCTGAGTGGGTGCGCTGGGTGAGCAGAGAAATCCAGAGCATGTAAGATGCAAAACAGAGACAACCCAAACCACAGAACACAAATAGTGTGCACCCTGAGGCTGTGCTCAGACACGGTGCCCTTGGGCCAGCCCTTCCTGCTGCCGAAGCAGCAGGCCACAAGGCTAAGTGGGAGGTTCTCAAGCACCCAGTCAGCTCCTTCCCAGTTTGACAGTGTGTTAGGGTCTATAAACAAGTCAGGATGGTGCCTGGCATTCTGCCAGAGGGAGTGGTTTGTGAAGTAACGCCAGCGAGCCATTAAGTGTGGAGGTTCCTTATTGGTTGACTGCTGTATCTAGTTTATGTTAATTAGATAAGCTGTGTGGAATGTATATATACCCCTCCTGTCCTACAATAAACGGCTCCCACTCCTGCTGTATCAATGTACACAAGTTCCTCGTCACCCCCCCAGCTATTTTGCCCAGCCAGCCGGGGTGTGGCAACAGTGGAGTTGGAGAGAGGGTCGTGGGTCTAGTAGTTCCCCTCTCTGATCCCAGTGGCGCACCACATGGAATTAGGAGCAGCAGCGTCAGAGGGCTGAGAACGCACCTGTGGGAAGGGGCTGGGGGTAGGACGTCCCCGAGATCTCAGGAGCAGCCTGCTCAAAGCCCTCCCTCAATCTCTCCAATTGGAGGGGAAATTTGAGTGACAGAGTCCTGCTAGAGGACAGAGTTGAGAAGTTCCCAATTCATTTTTAACCAGATGCATGTAGAATGATCTTGGGGACGAACTCCTCAGGCAGCCAGAGGCGTGGGGGGGGGGGCCAGGACTTACCGACTTGTGACTCTTGGCTGTTATGGTCTTCACCTTGTCAGGGTCCCAGATGACCACGTCAGCGTCGGAGCCCACGGCAATCCGCCCTTTCCTCGGGTACAAGTTGAAGATCTTGGCTGCATTAGTGCTGGTCACGGCCACAAACTGGTTCTCGTCCATTTTGCCTGTAGCCTAAAGGAAGAGCCCCCCGATGAGCAGACAAGCCTGATGGGCAGGCAGGAGGGCAGATCTGAACCCGCGACAGGGTCCGCACGGGTTGGCCAAGCTCTCCTCCCCCACTGAGAACACGCGCCCTCCGAGAGGGCAGGCCTGGCCTCAGAGCAAACTGAGTGATGCTGCCGAGAGCCTTGTGCCAGCTGTCAGTGTCACTGGGCCCCAGGTTCAGTGAAAAGAAGACCTGAGTTCAGGTCACAGCTCACAGTGACCCGGTTCCCTCTGCAATAAGAACTCTCGACACCCACTTGGCACCCCAGCGTCCAGCCCCTCGTGCACATGCAGAACCTGCAAAGCCACCTCTGCGGAGCTACAGTGTGGCTCACAACCAAACAAACCTTCCTCATCGTTAGTGTGCCCAGGCCCACAGCGACACGGGGAACGCAGAGGATCCGGAGGACCTGTGCCGCTGCTTCTCACGAGCAGGTGTCCCTGTGCCCCCTGCACGTCTGCCCCGGTCTCCAGTAAGGAGGGCTAAGAGTCTGGAGTGCACAGTGCCCTGGGCCTTGCTGGGCCAGGCAGGGGGCTTCTAGAATGTTCCTGGGGAAAGGTGGGGGCACCTTACCACTGCCTTGTCCCAGACAACTGTCATCCGCTCCTCGATGCCGTTGACGCCCTCGGGGATCAGGGTGAAGTTGTCCTTGCCCACCGCTTTCTGGGCAGTGCTGTAGGGACAGTGGCCGCTGCCTGTGACCTGCAGGTCTCCACTGGAAGGACACAAGAGGGTGGGGTTCAGACCTGGGTTCACTCCCAAGGGCCAACCCCAACTTCAGTCACCAGCGGAAGCCCCGGGAGGGACCTAAAGCTCAGGAGGCTTTAGGAGGAGAACTCTGAAGGACGCGCCAGACGTGGTGAACCTCTGTATAAAGAAAGTCCTGGGCGACTGATAAGAGGTGCAGAGACACACAGGCGGGCCGTGAGCCCAGAGCCCGCGCCAGCCTGTGTGTCAGGAGCCCCATTCACAGCCCTGGCCTCACGTCTCTGCCCCACAGGACATTCACCCCTGCCAGGGACTGACTGCCCACCTGAGCCACTGGCCACAACAGAGGCTCGGGCCCCACAGCCTGTCGGGAACCGCACTGTCCCCAAGTAGCACCACGCCCAGGCCTGTCCACGCCAGTCTGACCCAGTCTGCGCCTCCCACCCAGCCACCCTGTCCCCAAAGGCCCCTGGCTGCGCCCCGGGGTCTCACCAGGCCAGCAGGGAGGTCAGGTAGTCAGGCGTGGTGGGGTCTGGGCTCAGGGGCGGGGAGGTGACAAACGCCGCTGCTTTGGCCCAGTTCTTGCTCCAGTAGTGGGTGCCGTCGGTCCCCAGGCTGGCAGCAATGGGCTCCCCGAAAACCAGGGGACCTTGGGAGGGACGAACACAGTGAGCATGGTTACCAGAGCAGTGCCCACAGGAGGGGCAGGTGCAGGGGGACCCTGTCATGGCCACCCCTGCCAGGCGCCACCTCGCACCTGCCAAGCGCTCTCCAGAGACTCAGTGGCCGAGCCGCCCAGAACACGCTCGGGGGCCGTCACCGACTTTGGCATCTGAACACTGTTATCTCCTTTCACAGAGGGACAGAGGCACTGAGGTCCTGGGGCCACGGGACCAGGGGTTTCAGACCCACTGTGTGATGCCCCGCCCTCCCCTCTTCCTCCTATCTGTCCCTCTGAGCTTGGTCCCCAGTGTCACAGTGTTGACATGGTGGGACCTCTGAGAAGTGTGTGGGGCCGTGAGGGACCCGCCCGTATGCACGGAGTAATGTCTTTCTGCAGAGCCTGGGCTGGTTCTCTGGAGGCCAGAAAGGGTCTCATGGGTGGACTGGATACCATGAGATTGGGGCTGGCTTCCTCAGCTCACTCTCTGGCTTCCCGGTGAGCCCTCACAAGTGTTCCTGTCCAGAGGGGCCTTCATCAGAAGCCAACAAGATGGGCCACCCAATTTTGGGGTTTAAATCTCCAGAACTGACTGGGAGCTAAATAAACTTCTTTTCTTTATAAAATACCTAACCTCAGATACTCTGTTACAGCAACATCATAGACTAAGACACGGTCCTTCCTCATCCTTGATCTGCCGCTGGTTGGGCACCACTGACCTCAGAGGCCTGGGAGCCACACTTGGACTCCTCTGAGTCTCTGCCAAGAATCCCCAAGCCCATGATGGCCTGTGGAGCAGCCTCCAGCTGTGTGAGCTCCGGCCTTCACCCCATCACCCTCTGTTCAGCGGGCAGGAAGGGAACGAGGACCAGGAGCTGGCCAGGACATGGCCCGACACCTACTCAGCACTTGACATGCCCAGGCTGCTGCCAAGGCTTCACTCAATGGCTTGAAGGGCCCCTCTGAGAGGAGGAGACAGAGGGTCAAAGAGGTGAAGGACATCCACTCTTGGAGCTGGGCAGCTGACGTCCTAAACCAACGTTGTTCATAAGCCGAACACTCTGTTCTCAGGCCCCGGCCCTGGGAAACCACCCTCCTCCTTCCCCAGCCACAGCTGACCCTCTTTCTATCCCCGTGGAACCCGGGGGTAGGAGCCAACCATGAGGCCCAGCAGGGGGACTGGGAGGCCCAGCCAGGGTGACGTGCTCAGGAAGTGGACCAGAAGGAGGTCAGGCAGGAGGCAGGGCCTCTACTACCAGCCTCGGGAGGACAGCTGCCAACGCTCCACCCACGGCCTCTTGCCCTGACAGCCGGGACCATGCCCAGCCCCAAATGAAGAAGCCGAGGCTCAGGACATGCCAGGGACTTGCCCGAGGTCACCCAGGTGGCACCTGGCACACCCAGAATCACACCTAAAACTGACTGCATGCACGGGGTTCTGCCTGCCCCTCCCCGTGTCCCCTCCACTCCTGAATGGGCTGGAGGCCCCGGCTCCCGGCTCCCGTCTGGTCCTGGATGTAACTGGGCCTGTGGGACACGCAGGGCCCCTCAGGAGGCCCGGCCACCGCATACCCTTCTTCCTGGCCAGGGTGATGATGTCCGCCGCGCTCTTGCTCATGACCTTGGTGATATACACGGGGCAGTTGATCCGGCCGGCAATGGTGATGGCCCGGAATACAGCCTCAGCCTCCAGCTGGGGACAGCAGACACAGGGTCACGAGAGGGAGGCGGGGGAGCCTGCCCCACCCCAAACTCCCAGGGCTCTGTGAACCCGTGTCCTCTGACTTTCCTCAGGCAACTGTGGCAGAAGGGAAATGTACCAAGTCAAGGGGTCAAGTAGAGCAGCTGTTCTTAAAAGAAGGCAGAGCGAGTTTGGGTGGAGGGTCGGAGGCCGACTTGAGCTCCTGTGTGTCTGGGAGAGTTCTGCACCCGCTAGGGCGAGAGGCGGCAGACAGAATCGGGAAGCTCGGGAGGTGGTCTGTGGTATGCGAAGGCTGTGCCAAGAACATGCCCATGTCCACCCACCCCCCTGCCCACCGGCTCACTCCCTCACCAAGTAAACCCAGGAGCACCCGAGGTCTCTTCAAGTCTCCACACCCTCCAGCCCGGCCAACGCGAGTGGAGTCAGCCAACCCGAGGACTGGCTGGTTGGTTTTTGTGGTACTTGGGACCAAACTCAAGGCGCTCGGCCACTGAGCTACACCCTCAGCCCTTTTTATTATTAAATTTCTCGAGGAGTCTCGCCAAGTTGCTGAGGCTGGCCTCAAATTTGTGATCCTTCTGTCTCAGCCTCCCAAGGGAAGATCACACGCACGCGCCCTGGGCCCAGCTGTACTTCTTTTTCTTTTTAGGGTGGTGTGGCTCCAGGTGGGCCCTGCTGGAGTCTGACACCTGATGGGGCCCCACCTACTCTCAGGGGCAAAGCCATTGGTCACAAACCCTGATGTGGCAAGCACATTCAGGTGCAATAAAAGCTTATGAACCCTGTTTCTAGTCCTGTCCTGATGTCCCCATGGGCCAGGAACACACAGCTCATGGCCTGCTCACTATTCCTGTGTGTCCCCAGTGTGGAGAAGGGCCAGGGCTGGGGGAGGTTCAGGACACTCGTTCGTGACTTCCTAGGGGCAGAGAAACACACTCAACCCATGTCCCAGGCACACGTACCCTCTGGGCCTCCCTCCACACACAGCCACCCAGGGGACCCACCCACTTCCACCTTGGGAACGCAGTGGGCAGGGTGGCTGTCTCCTGAGGCCAGGCTTGGGGCCCGTGGCTCCCCCTCCCTGACACCCAGGGCACAGTCCTTGGCAGACTCTTATCCAGTTTGGACACTGAAGTGTGCGCAGGGCCCGTGTGGAACTCCTGGACCCAGGAGAGGCAGGGCCTCTTCCTGGCCCTCGCTGACTGGCCTGCGGCCTTCCCAGGAGGGAAGGGAACGGGAGGAGCTGGACACAGGCTGGGTGCAGCAGGAAGGCCATCAGGATGATGGCAACGCCGGGGACACGCCAAGTCCTTACCTCTTCAGGTCTGCTCAGAGCGTGGCCCTCGGGGCCCGTGATGCCCATCTCTAAGATTCGCTTTTGTTCCTACAACAGAAACAAATGAGTCAGTGATAGTGGATGGTCAGAGCTGGACTAAGTTGCTCCTCTAACCTCCTGCTAGAGGGACAGGGCAGCTGAGGCCCAGCAGGCGTCCCTGAGGCCTAAGAGCAGGTGGGGTGAGCCACGGCCCTCCCACTTCATCCATCCTTTCACTTTAATCATCCTTTCACTTCAATAAGCCCCCACCCAGCACACCTGGCTCCGCCCCACAAGCCTGGCCCCACCCCCACACCTGGCTCTGCCCCACAAGCCTGGCTCCACCCCCATACCTGGCTCCACCCCCACACCTGGCTCCGCCCCACAAGCCTGGCTCCACCCCCACACCTGGCTCCGCCCCACAAGCCTGGCTCCACCCCACAAGCCTGGCTCCGCCCCACAAGCCTGGCTCCGCCCCACAAGCCTGCCTCCTCATCTGCTTTAATCTCCCAGGATGTCTGAAGGAAGCAGGGTGCTGTGGTGGGAGTATGGTTTGTACCACCAACACTCGCATGGAGACTTGGTCCCCAGTGTGATGGCGTGGAGAGGTGCTGAGGTGATTAGGTCCCCAAGAGACAGGAATGCTTTTCTTGTGGGAGTGGCTGCCGCTCTCAGGAATGGCTTCATCCTTGCAAGGACGAATGTTATCAAGCGAGCCTCCCCAGGCTGTCCTGCACGCGAGCTGCCAAAGACCGGTCCCCATTCCAGTTTGCCACCCTGCACAGAGGGGCACGTGGCCCGCAGCAGAAGCTGAGTAGTTGCTGGCACCATGTTCTGACCTCCCAAAATAAACTTCTCCTCTTTATACCCAGCCTCCAATATTTTATTACCACAACAGAAAATGGCCGAAGAGAAAACCAGTACCAAGAAGTGGGGTCACTGCTATAACGATGCTGGCAAATGTGGAAATAGCTTTGGAATCAGGTAATGGTCAGAGAGTGGAAGAGTTCTGAGGAGCCAAGACAAAGACACTGTATACACTGTGTTTAGGTGACTGTGAGGACTGGGAGCAGGGGAAGGCAGGGAAGGTGGAGCCCTAGGGGACATGCTGAGGTCGTGCCTAGACCACCGTCCATGGGCACTGGACGGTAACAGCCACTCCAGTGAAGCCTCACATGGAAATGAGATGGCCTTGGCCACCCTTGCTATGAGGGAGCAAATGTCTAATGGTGTCTGTGCCTCAGGACTCTACCCAACATGGAACCCAAGGCACAAACGAGAATTTCTGGCTGAAGAATTTTCTAAGCCAAATTAAAAGGAGCTGTGAGGTTCCTTAATCTCAATCACTAGGCTGAAATCAGGAAGAAGAAAAAGAAGCTCTTTAAAGACTGAATTTATCACTCTAAAGGGAAGAGAGCATAAAAATTTGGAAAAATCACAGATCATGTGACGAACAAAAAGCAGGTTGGAGATGGCAAGTGTGGCCCAGCTCTGAGACTGGCACCAGGAGAGGAGGGAGGTGCCCAGCCAGACCTCGGGAGGGCCCAGAGGGATCTCAGAGCTCTCCTAGGATTCCCCTCAGCACAGGCTCGAACGCTAGGCCCTTAATGGCAGCAGGGGTGAGCCGTCCAGGGCAGCACTGGGCCAGCCAGGGCTCAATAGGCCAGTGTGCTCAGGCCACCGCTCCAGAGGGTGCAGGTGGCAAGCCCTGGGGTCTGGTGGTGCTGACTCTGCAGACGTGCAGAGTGCAGGCTCTGCAGGGTCACAGTGCTCCTGGGGACGTCAAAGACGAACCACTGCAGGGCCCGGAGGGAACCGGCCTCGAGGACTGAGTGCCACAGAGGCTCCCCACAAGGCAATGCCCAGTGAGCCTTGGGAGGGGGCCTTCACCTCTGGATCCTGGCACGGAAGTGCCAGTGGGGACCTGTAACATGCCTGGGAAAGGGTCGGGCACCTGGCCAACCCCAGGGAGCAGCCACAGGGCAGAAGGGACTGGTGTGCCTAGGAGAGGCGCATGGAGTGGAAGACCATCTTCCAGTTTAAGATTCATTATCTTCCCTGCTGTTTTGAATTTGCTCTGAGCCAATGACTCCTTTCTTAAAAATAAATAAATATATATATACACACACACACACACATACATATATATAATATTACGTATATATTTTATATATAATTATATATGTGTATTACATATATAAATTTTAGTTGTAGTTGGACACAATACCTTAATTTTTTATTTATTTATTTTTAGGCGGTGCTGAGGCTCGAACCCAAGACCCCCAAGTGCTAGGCAAGTGCTCTGCCGCTAAGCCCCAGCTCAGCCCCCGTTACTCCTTTCTTTTGGAGCACTTCCACCTTGGGGGCAGCAATGCTGACCCCGCTGTGCCACCTGTGTCACCACTGGATCTTGGAAGTGGAGGACTGGGTGTTGATTTTGCAGGCTCACAGCTGGAAGGCGCCTTGAGCCTCAGATGACCGGGTTTTAGACTTTGGAGTTGATGTTGACAAGTTAGGGCTCTGGGCTAGGGGACAGGGTGTATTTCGTAGGTGAGGGGGACACAGGCCGGGGCAGGGCCAGAGTGCTATGGCTGGAACATGGTCTGTCCCTCCACAATTGGAGCTGAGGATTGGGCCCCAGTGTCATGGTGTTGAGAGGTGCCTGTGTGACCCGGTCACTCAGGGATCAACACTCTCAGGGGTGGGCTCCCATCTCTTCTCAGGGAGCCGGAGTGGTTATTGGGAGAGCGGCCTTTTATACAACAAGCTGGCACCTCCCCTCGGACTCTCTTGCATCTGTGCTCCTTCCACAGGCATCTGCTGCCCTCTTCCAGTTTTCCGCCACCCACAGAGAGTACACGGCTGTCCTCAGAGGCAAGCAGATGCTGGCATCATGCTCTTGGAATTTCAGAACAGAGAGCCAAATAAATCTCTTTTCTTTAAAAATTACCCAGACATGGGTATTCTGTTACAGCAACAGAAAATCAATTGAGACACAGGGCTATAAGAAATGAGCTTCAGAGACCACTGTCCATCCTTCCAATCTGAGTCTCCCTGAAGGCTGTCCTTTGGAAAGAAATATGGGATTCTGGTATTACGTGGATGCTAAAATCAGTAAGTTCTGAAGGGGAGCCCAGCTCCAAAGCTGGCCATCCCCAGGACTGTGGGCAAGTTGGCCACGCTCTCTGAGCTTCAGTTTCCTGCACACTGGAGTTGACAGTGTTTGCATCACAACTGTGAAGGTGAGGGGGGAGAGGGCCTCACCAAGCACCTGGAGTGACACCACTGCACAGGAGAGCTGAGCAGCAGCAGCCCCTAGTTTCCATCTAGGCGCCTCTCCCTGGCATCTGTCTCTCTGGCAGGAAAACCCCACCTTGAACTTCTCCTATGACCTTGAAATGCCTCCCCAAGCCGGTGGCCCAGATTCAACCTATTGCTCCAGGTTTCCTTGCCCCGGGAACACTTTAATGACTCTAGAAGACAGAACTCTTTTTTCTCCCTCAACGTTGCCAAGATGCCCGGGTGCGGCTGCCTAGTTCCACTTGCAGTCTCTGGGTCATCACTCCTGGACACACCGCTGCCACGACTCTGGGCCCACTGACCACGAAGAAATCACAGTCTCGACTGTGCCTCTACGGTTATTGAGCTCCAGTTGATTATAAGAACATAAATTAAAAACAATTTCAAGGTCTGATGCTGGGGTGGATTGAGGCAAACTGTGGAATAATTGCAGCTACTGAAGATGATGTTTATGAAGCATTTTTGGAAACTGTTTACAAAACAATTTTATGATACAGAGAAATCCCTACACTAAATAGTTTAAATGTCAGTTACTATTTCTGTTCAAAGGAGAAAAGACCAGGAGGGGAGGGGAGGAGGAGGGGAGGGGAGGAGGAGGGGAGGGGAGAAAGTGGGG